AGGTATCTTCTACTACTTCTCGCTCTCCAGCAGATAGAGTATTCAGGTATAACTCCCAACGAATGCGCTGCATTGCTTCCATTACGCACTTGTGTGCACGAATACTACGATTGTAATGGTGGCCACTCATGACACCATTTATCGAACCTTGGGCCACAATGCCGGATTCTATCATGATCTCCAATCCAGCATCACAGAATTTCTTGCCGATGCATGCTAACATCGCAAGAGTGGTATAAAATCGAGGCGGATGATAATGCGATCGAGGAATGTTTTGTTTCTCAATCGGATTTGTTGGGCTTTTGCGTAAATTGCCTGGTCAAAGACAACTACCACTTCCTTCTGGCCAAGACTGTCTGCTATTTCAAGACTACTCTCCATGATAGACTGTCATATTCCTTGAAACACGGTAGTCTCTTTGCCAATCCGCCGGGATTGAGAGGTCCATCCTTCCCAGGGGCCCCACTCACAAGCATTGCTTTTTGGGGTCTCAATTTGGATCATGTTTGTTCGTCATAAATGCTATGTCATGTTTTTTTTAATAAACTGAACTGAACTGAATATTCTGTAGGGCTGGCGTCTATTATTGGTAGGTACCAAACTGCATGTTGATTTGGGTGGAACAGTCTTTTCCAGCATGACATTGAAGCCATTGAAGCCAATCCAGCTTGGAAGAAGCTTATCTGAAATATTCGCACATTTCATCAGGATATATGACAGATCTAGGTTGCATGGATGCACAGCTGATATTTTTGTTAACCTGTTCCCAGAATGATTTATGTGAAATTGACCGAACACTGGTGTCACTAGATGGCGCTGTGGATTGCATGTGTATCCAACGTATTCTTGCTTATTGATTTTTTTATAAAATTCATAGTTTGCTTTAGTATTGCTACTTTGTTACAATATGCTACTTTATATTAACTGAAGTTGACAAAACCTTATCATAAGTGTAGGGGGGGGGGGGGGGGGGGGAGCTCTTACCATAATTTATGGAGGCTTTGATAAAGTCCAGTCAGAGTTTTGCGTTAAACCAGAAATTTTGGGTGCATGAAATGCTTCAATATTTTTAGAGTGGTTCAGATTTTGAAAGTTAATGCTGCAAGTAATCAAATCACACCTGACACAACCCTGAATCTTTGCGAAAGTTTCATCTTTAAAATTGCTCTTACAGTGTATTTTCATATTCGGTAAGTGTCTTTTTGCAGAAGTTTCTTGTTGAGTTAAACATTCATGAAGTTCAGATATGTAGTGATACATCTTTTGTGTTGTATTGTAAATATTACTTTTGTATTGTAAATATTACTTTTGTATTGTGTATAGAATTACATATGAAATGTTTGACTCAAGATGGAATTAAAATGTATTTTTCTGAAATAATTCAATATAATGATTCCTATCTCTTTTTGTGGTGTTACAAATATGTGTTACCTTCTAAATGCTGGAGATAATTACAATGCCCTGAAATGCGCCAATAACATTTTGTAATCCCATGTCAGTTACTTTTTTTAGAAGAAAGAGAGGTAGGTAATAAGCTTATAGAGGCCTATATGATAAGTTGCCATAGCAACAGTTGTTGAGCCCTCAATTTTTGTTCTTTTGATCTTGGTACAGCATCTGGATTGGTGTGGATCAAGAGTTTCGCTGGCCCTAATACTAAAGGTTAACTGCACCACTCCTGGGGGGTGTTTCACAAAGAGCCCAATTTGAACTTATCTTTAAGTTGGACTTAACAATTGTGGAAAGCCGTAATAGCATCTATGAAAGTATTTTGTTAAAAGTTATTTTACACGGCATTAAATGTTGTTTTAAATCATTCATATTTTTTATTATCAAGGATATTTCATGTTCTTCATGTGGAATATATAAAAAGTCTAAAATATTTGAATTTTCGCTTTTGAGTACCGGCATATTTTATTTCAAGGCTACAAATGGCTCTCCGTAGCATTAAGTTTGACTTAGGATCTTTGTGAAACACCCCCCTGATGGTCGACTCGTGGCAAAATGAAAATCCCTACTTGACATCTACATGCACATATTCTACAAAGTACAGATGATGACAACCCCATCAAATAAATCCACACCGTGCAACATTTGCTTTCCAGTTTGTTGTTCATAAAGACCATAACGTCATTTCATTTTATTAGAATCATCTCTTTATGTTCAATATATCATTTACAGTAGGAGAGTACACATAATTATATAACTCTGATAACATGTTTACTGTGTCCCTTCTCACATCGGCACATGATATACAATTTGTTACTTCAATATAGGTCGTATTCTAGGTCTACTATAATTAATAGCAAACTGTGCAGAGAATGGACAGCTTTAGTTTATTCATTCAATTGGAAGAACCAATGTCAAGCTCGGAGGAAAAAAAGAATCCTTTTCTTATTTCTTCACCTGAATTTACTTCCAGCAGAAGCATATGAACAATGTCACTTTGATAAATCACAGAAAATAGTAAAAGTAATTTCTCATGTTCCTTTAGTAAAAACAGTGCTCTAAAAGATCATTAATGACATTGATTAAAGATGGTGCACAGTTTACAAATCCTAACAAGTCTCCATGGAGATTTCTTATTTCTTCGCTTCTATTTACTTCCACCAACAAGCAGAAGCAAATGAAAGTCACTTTGATAAATCACAGAAAAATAAACATTACATCTCATGTTCCTTTAGTACCGACAGTGCTCTAAAAGATCATCAATGACATTGATAAAAGATGGTACACAATATTTTACGAATCAGAACAGGGCCCTGAGTCATAAAACTTGACATCAGTAACAAGTTACTGTTATAAGCTACTGAAATCATGGCATCTGATTGGCTGAAAGCAAATTTGTCATAGAAATTTAGCAGTTGTTATAGATAACAAGTTTTATGGAACGAGCCCCTGGTCTCCATGGAGATTTCATCACACACACTGCTAGACCAACCAACAAACCAATCAAAAATATCCATGCAATTTCTCTCCATCTCACCAAAGTAGTTATTGAATATTGTTTCAGCTTTTCTATGAAGCTATATATTAGCTATATGAAGATCTGTTGATGTGACTGATTGATCGAGTCAGTCTATTGGTATCACATCTTAACTATTAATACAATTGCATATGCATGACAATTAATTAAGTTCATGAACTTACAGGTTTCTCTGATCTCCCCAATGCAATTTGTAATTTTACGACTGATATATACATGAACAAGTGATATTTGTGCGTCTTCAAGTCTTATGACCCATACATGAAAGATCTCAATGGCACAATTTGTCAATATAAGGTGTTTGATAACCTAAACTTTATCTTATCCCATACAATTAATTACTAACTAGTGAAAACTGGGCATCCGTCCGTAACATTTAGAAATCTATGTTCCTAACATACAGAAAAATAGTAATATATTCACTTTCGTTTTAGTTTAAGCACATAAAAGAAGTATTATTTAAAGCAATAACTTGCGGTTAAAAAAAATTGCCTTGACTCTGCTAATGAAATGGATTTTTTTACAATGCAAGATGGATACTACAAAATATATAAATGTTTCATCTAAGAATATCCCAGCAAAAAAGCAGATCAGACTTTGAACTGATACAAACATATCTGATAGAATTGATATAAAAATATTTAGCTTCACTCTAAATTTTCGCTGTGTGGTTAGATTAGATTGTTTACAGGTTAAGAGAATACTAGGGTGTACATGGTGTTAAAAAAAAATATACTGGGACAGTTACACCATTCCAATACAATCTAGTCACACCTAAACAGTCACTCATACATGTATCCAATATTCCTGTAGTAAATGAACATAAATCTCATTATATTTGTTATATTGCTCTTTGTTATTTACATAATGAAATTTGTTCAAAGTGCTATCGTATTATCCACTCAGAAATTTACACTTTAGAAATAGTACATTTTTGTGCGTTTCAGAATATCACTATAGAGTACATATAAAATCAGTTTGCATTCCAACAATGTCACATACTATAACTACTGAAGATAATTGGCAATATAAACGGAAGCTAAAGGAACAAAGCGCTCAGAAAAATAACGGGCTGTGTTTGGCTGCCAGAAAAAAGATACAAAGCCAGATGTTTCAACAACAGTTGAACAGTCGATATGTCCGTTTTCGTTACTATTCTTTGATATTCTTTAGTACCAATTATCTCTTTAAAATGAAATTGGTAGTAGAACTATTTGTCCAGCATTGAGAAGAATGTAAGATGTGGAGTGAGAGAGAGAGAGAGAGAGAGAGAGAGAGAGAGGAAAGTGAGATGAGAGAGAGAGAGAGAGAGAGAGAGAGAGAGGGAGAAAGAGAGAGGAAAGTGAGATGAGAATCTGAGAGAGAGTTGGAAAGAGAGAGGAAAGTGAGATGAGAATCTGAGAGTGAGTGTGAGAGAGACATAGAGAGAGTTGGAAAGAGAGAGGAAAGTGAGATGAGAATCTAAAAGAGAGAGAGAGAGAGAGAGAGTTGGAAAGAGAGAGGAAAGTGAGATGAGAATCCGAGAGTGAGTGTGAGAGAGACAGAGAGAGAGTTGGAAAGAGAGAGGAAAGTGAGATGAGAATCTGAAAGAGAGAGAGAGAGACATAGAGAGAGTTGGAAAGAGAGAGGCAAGTGAGATGAGAATCTGAAAGAGAGAGACATAGAGTTGGAAAGAGACAGGCAAGTGAGATGAGAATCTGAGAGAGAGAGAGAGAGAGAGTTGGAAAGAGAGAGGAAAGTGAGATGAGAGAGAGGGACAGTAAGGAGTAATTAAACAACAACTAGAACAATGACATGTGCCGTTAAAAACAAAGGGTGGCGTCTCTTCCTTGGTACATTCTACATGAACCTGATGATAAATGCTTTCAAATAAAACTATCAACCAAGTCACAATTCAAATAGCATGGTGCAATCTGCTAAGTCATGTAAATAGTAACATTAACCCCCCACACAATCTGTACATGATACATATCAATATAAGATAGGATTGAATCGGTCTACTCTGTTATCATTTATTTTGTGCTTGCGATCATCTGTACATTAAACATTCGGCAGATAATGGCTTTTTGGTTCAAGTACAATACTCACATTGCTTATCTAATACCGGTCAATGAGCAATAAAGCGTCAATATTTGGTTAACCTAATTTGCCAGTAATGAAGCTGATTGTGAATGCAGTATGTCAATACTGTGACTTGAATGTAGAGAGCTTATAAAAGACCAGTTCACAAATGTACTCAATTTATATTCATGTTTTTTTTCTGCTGCAATGTAAACAAGTGACAAACCTAAAGCTTGCAAGGGGCTCGTCCAATAAAACAACTAATGTATGCAACCTGCATTGCAACTATTGAAGAACATAGTGTATTACACGCCCAAAGCTTCTAATAAATAAGCCTACAAATGTACGATTTTCTGCACATTCCTACTACAAATGTACTTTTGATGACATGTACGCTTGCCAGCCATGTCAAGGGCTCGTCAACTAACAGTTACACTGTATGTAACCGGCATTCTGACTCGTGAAATAGAATACCCTGGAATAAGTGAATATAATACGTTCACAAAGAGTGATACTGCTTACAATTATTATGTGTTCATTCTTTGAATACATATGTGAACTGGTCTAATAAAGTATTAACAAAAGGAAAACAAACAAACAAACTAATGATTTGCTAATTATGCTATATCACCAATCCAAGTGTCATAAAATTTCAACCAAATATGGAAATGCCCACGATTAAAATTGCATAATGTGTAGTGTGCTTGAGAAGCAGTGTAAGTTGTGCAATTTCTGGTGAGAAAAGGAACATTCTCAAAATATTTAGAATTTGGCATTGTTTTTATTCAACAGTCAATGAAAGTAGAATAGATATCACCTGGAAGACCAACTTGAAAAAGAACATTGCCCAATGGGAAACTTAGACAAACCCATAATAAATATACAGGGATATCTTGTTGCTAATACAATGAGATGAAATAGATTATAAACCGAGGTATACTATAGTCCCCCTGTCAATATTCTGTGTTTTGGTTGTTTTGAGCATGTGTGGTTATTTAATTGTAACAGGATTTCCATGTAGTGTACACGAAAATGAAAGAGAATTACGCAATTTGAGGGATACCTGCATTAACACTAAAAGAGAAAAAAAGAAGAAAGAAAGTTTGCTGATATGGGGTTATGTGCAATACCCTGTGGATTTTAAGTCCTTTATGCAGCAATAACAAGAGTCCTAATAACAAGGAAAGAGACTGTGAGCTGTGTTTTTATTCAATCAATAAATTAAAGACAAATTTTGGAAAGTTGTTTCCTTGAATTCATTTAATGTTAACATAATGTGTTTCTTGCTTCCTCAGTGAATCATATCAGCAATTATATTTATAAATGCCGACCCCCAATAGAGGAGATTTACAAGATGATTATAAATGTATTCATTAAAGGCCGGGCTCGACATTAACAGGGGTTCGCATCACATTTGGTACCCAAAATTTAAGCCCAGACCCCCCCCCCCCCCCCCCCCAATTTTCAAGATTTTAACATAGGGCTTAAGCACACAGACTACAGAAAAATTTGGAATCCTCTTCTAAAAAAAGTTAGTGTGGAGCCCTATATTCCAAGCATTTTTAAAATACTTCATAGAAGCAAAAAAAGGGGGAAATGACGAGTATCTTTCAAATCTATGCTTCCCTACTACATGTACTGTAAGTGTGACAAAAAATGACTTGCGCCTTTTCATGTTGTTGTTGATGAATTACCATTCATAATTACCTACATTCTAAAAATCCTGTTGGTTGCAAAAGGCCTTTTTTTATACATACATCGTTAAAATGATCGTATACTTCATAGGTACAGCATCAAGAACTTAGTACTTAGTTAAAATTAGATAGTAGCATAAGTAGCATTCTTATTAGTGCAGATTGTCGTTGTGAAGGAAAGTAATCTATAAGTATGAATGTACCTTTTATCTTATTTTCTCATTTCTTTATCATATCAGCGCCTTTGATTAGGCAACTAGATATTGGCGCTTTATAAATTGCTGGATTGGATTCGATATACAATTGCAATCACATGTGATAAGTAATTAGATTCTCCTCAGTTCTATGCCATATATCAGCTGGTTTATGAGGACCATATATATATATTTTTATTGATAAGGCACTTTATTTTCTCACGGCTACTAAAATCAAGGTACACACTACAAAAGAAAGATTTTTTTTCTTCATCACAACATAATGCCGGCTGCTAACTGAAGTGTTTTCATCCTATTTGAATTTACATAAGATTGATAAACACATGATACTTGTGACAGAACACCCATTCTTGACAGTGTGTGTTAATGGAAGAATATTTTTTAAATTTTTAATTTTTTAATTTTTAACACTGGACGTGTGCCCAAAAGTAGACTTCATAGACGAGCCACACTAATTATGTCTACGTAGGGCACCTCCTTTCAGTATCTCGACTTAAAGGGAGTGTAGCATGGCAATCCCATCTACATGTACGACTTTTTTTTGGAAAAGTGCACATAAACGAATGCGCGTATGTTGCACGCATGTAAATACTGCTGTCGCGTTGTCCGTAGACGTATTATATCCGATTGGCCCCCAAGTCAGGCCACAGGAAAGACATGTAGTCTTGTCACGCTACACCCCCTTTAACCCAATTTGAGACATATACATGTATCTACGTTTCCAAAAAACCCACACTGCCTACTTAAAAGCCATGCAAGGCGGACTTTAATCCAGTCATATGCAACTGATATTAGACCAGTATCCATGTGTTTTAAGGCAAAAAAAACAAAAGTTAGCAGATGCATTTGTTTATGAATGAAAAAAGATAAGTATTAGTCTTTACCGTAACATACAGCAAGCATTATTAGGATTTTACATTATTTGGCACAACATTTTACATGGTGTACATCCAGAACGAACCATTTTAATGTTTACAACAACAAGAAATGTTTGTTGTTAACATTTAGACTACTCTTTGGAATCGAGTGACACTATGGTACACTGGTTTAGGAAAGATGTACATATACAGCAAAGAATACAACATAAAGGCAGTCAATGTAATTTGAGAGAAGTTGATGCACCAATCTACATCAAACTGTACCAACCTACATCCAACTCGTCTAGTTTAGAGCACTACCAATAACTGATCAGGAAAAAAACGCCATGTCACATCTTTTTTGTGTGTCAAATGACAGTGATCGTCAAAGCTAATATGATCTCTTTCTAGTACCACACACATACCGGTACTGAAAAAAGATTTAAATCGATTGACAATGTATACTAAATCCAAATTGGTGTGAGGGTCGGGCAAGGGTAATGAACTAATCTAGGCCAGTGTAAAATCCTATTAAGGTGCATGATTTATTTCTACCAGTCTACAGTATATACCCTTGAAATATTCCACTTAAAAAGTGATTCATAAATACACAGTATATTGAGTAAATGTACTTTTTTCCTTAACAAATAATTCAATTTGCCATCAACCTCTTGCAGATGCTTATCAAGGAAGGGAGTTCATATCTAAAAAGCTCTTGCACGTTGGAGACTTGAAACCCTTGCTCTATGTATTCGGCCATTGGTTTGTTAGGAAGTACTTGAAGAATTCGTAGACGGACCATGATAGAGCGGTCGCCGGCATCTGGAACACCACCCTGGCGCCGATGCCCTTGAAGTAGCCGCGGATCCCGCCGAGGTCGTATATAGTCCTAAAGGCATGAAGCATGCCGTTTATCGACCTCCTCCCGTGCGTCACGCCCTGCTCCTGCGTGTTCAGCAGAGTCTTACAAACGTCCAACGGGGTCGTGATGGCGGCGGCGATGGCCCCCGCAGCTGCCCCCGACACGACGTGCGTCTTGGGGTTGTACCTTCGCTCAGAGTTCAAGTATTCTTGGCCCAGTTCGTACGTGACGAAGTGGACGGTCTGGAAGGGGATGTTCATTGTAAGCTGCGTGGTGTAGCTGCGGTAAAAGGCACTCGTGCCCTCAGTTCTCAACACCCGCCTAAAACAGTCTGTTACGTTCTTGTAGGGGCTGTTGTACATCTGCATCCGTTGCTTGATCACTGTTGCATCCAAAATGGCAACAACACACACGCGTTACCATGACGACCATTTCCGAAGGGAGCAAGGAGACAGACAGACGTTGGGTTGGGTAGTGAAGGTCATACCAAAAGCGATGAGATGGCAATCCAGATCCAGTAATAAATCCAAAGAGAAGACCGAGAAAGAAAAGTAAGAAAAATTAAATGGAATATAATATTTGTCACATACTGTTTATATGCTTACATTATACTTGCCCGTGTCCTTCCAGACACTATTCAAAAGGAATATCTAGATGTTGGCAGTTATATGAAGAATTTTTTTTTTTTTTATCTATTCGGAAACCAACACAACAGATTGAAGTACCGTAATAGTGCATTCTAAATTACGGTACGCTGGAATTGGAACAAAGAAATACAGCGCATATGAAAAATAAGTGTACCTGACTTTGGTTCAAGTTTCAGCTGATTGAACGAATGTGGGTCAGGCCATACGCATGTGCTTCTTTGGTCTTAAATCTTGTTTAAAGTAAGATCATGACTCTTACTTTAGTGCTTCATTGTTTAAAATGATGCAATGTACATGTATCTAGGCTTTCACAGAACCTTGTTTCAATCCATAGGATAACCTTTAATCCTTTCGAACAGCCTACTAAAAATTCTTGTCTCATGATATCTAAGTTATCATAACATGGTTATCTCAAATAGTTATCGGTAATGAAAACTCAAAGGTTACTAAACCCAAATGCTAGAAAAAAAAGTATTAAAGACATTCAACTTTCATTTTGTATCACTCAATGAGAATGGTGACCTGGAGTGTACATGAAAGGTACATGTATGTGCCAATGAAGTCAAGATTGTAATCATAACAAAGAGAATGTCATTTTGCTTGTAATAGGCATTTCCTTGAGTTTGAGTTGATATTAACACCTTTTCTTTTCAACTGCCTAATGTAAATATTAGGTGAGCAATTGTTTTTTGGAATGAGATAACACACACATAATTGCTTTTGACCCACATTCAATGCTTCATTGAAATTTTAAATAATATTTGTTTAATTTAATTGTATTCAAGTAACATAATAAAAAAATTACATTATTTAAACGGGCAGCTGTAAAAAAAAGGAAATGAAACTAAACCAAAAGTAAACAAATCAAACAAATAAGAACAAAAAAACAAAAAACAAACACACTTTCACTTGGGGACACCATACATGTACATGTACATGTATTGCCACATCCTGGTTAAAAGTCATTGCACTGACATTCTTTCAACCCTTTGAAAAAGTTCCTATCGCCAATTCATAATACCCTGGTGTTAAATAATGAAGGGCATAGTCATACCATTCTATTGGCAAATATTCTTGAGACAGCACAACCTGACACCACAATGATCAAGAAAGAAAGCCACATAGTAACCTCTGCAGCAGCCCTTTTTCTCACAAACCAGGATGTTTTTCTTTCGGATGAGCTAGTCATCATTTCCTGGGGTTTGGGTTCAACAGGGTTTTCTACATTTAAGGAATTCCAAATTCCAGTCTCGCCAATTTGACCAATTTCCTTCACAACAGAATCAACAGGATTTCAAAGTATGAAGATTTCAGAAATCCCAACTTCTGTGTTGCCAATTTGACGGCATTTCTTTAACTGTACAGGTTACACAGAAAGTTCTATCTTGCCAATTTGATCATTTCCTTCGGTGTACAGTTGATTGGGATTTCCCAAATATTACTACGAAGGAAATGCAACATCAGTCTTGCCAATTTCATATCACTTTCTTTTCTATTCAAACAGAGTTTTCCAATACTACAATTATTTCAAAATTCTAATCTTCATTCTTGACAGCTCATTGTTTCAGGAAATTGCAAGCAAAAGAATATTTTCTCCCCACCACAGCAAGAAAACCCCCAAGGCCGTTGAGTATTATGCATGACATTGCACGTACAGTACTGGTAGTCTGTGATGCGCATTCTTCCATGACGAACAGACCTAAATACTGCCCTTTTATTTTACCCAACAAGCATGTGTTTAGAAAAGGTCAATATCTCAATCAGGTACCGAGCACACAGCTGCATTGTAATCAATGATACATCATACAAAATGTCTGTAATAATTCAGTCCTTTTGTCTGGGGCAAGTACTCGTGACCTACATCTGCATGTATGCCGAAGAGCGGTTATACAACATTGAGTCACGGTCGTGGTGTAATATGATAATCTATGTCAGTGAAGGGTTCCAAGGAATGAGTATTAGGTGTCACATTTCAGCGACATTAATGCATTATCTTTTGATCTGGAATCGCTATGAATTACACAAAATAAACGATCGGAAAGAACAAAAGAACAAAATATCACTGAAAAATGTTAGTCCATTGCTGTTGTATAAAACTTGTGGTACCATATTGAAAGCCAGAGAACTGTCGTGTATTAAAGTGAAAAATAGAATTCTTCAAATTGGCAAAGCATTGTGGAATGCAATATCAATATTTTCCTTATACCATTTGATAATGTATTTTCTTATCTCATTTTTTTTTTTAATAAATGACTCTCTACATACAGTAATTCTGAAACTTAAAGGAATATGGAATTTTCACAATTTGTACATGAACATTTTTCAGAACAGCCAAACTTGAGTGTTGTGTTACTGCTTAGCATGAAACTTTCGAGAATCTGAAATTTCGCACACAGAGTTTGTGAACATACATGTATCATGAGCGAAAATTTTTGATTCCACATTACTCATCAAAGCAAACTGTCAAATTAATAAACAACCCCAACTGAACAATTAAACAAAAATCTAATGGTTGAAATCGATACTATACCTTCTACTGGATTCATAGCAGCATCGTGGACGACCGTTGCTAGGCAACCTGCAACGGCTGTAAAGACAATCATGAGATGTCAGGACGGCAGTAAAATATTGCTGAATATGTAATGGCTCTATCGTCAGCTGAGAGCCAGAAGGGCATTTAAACTTGATGTGAAATCATAGGTGTATTAAATGCCCTTCTGGAACTGAGCAGAAGATATTCAACACCGTGTAGAGTTTATGGTTTATCATCATTATATGGTTTTGTGTGCATGTCAATTATCTTTCTTTATACTGGTAGCGAATCAATATTTGTTCATTTTTTATGATGTAGCTTCATTGACTCTAAAAGTAGGACGAGACTGAGAGAGGAAGGGATATGAGTAGGGTTGGGAAAGGGTAAGGACAAATAGAGTGTGTGGGGGGGGGGGGGGGGGAGGGGAATAAGAGACGAAGATTGGGACCTAAGTTATTAGCTGAAAAATACATTACGGTAATCACTTTCAGTTACAATGTATCCTTTACAAATATAAATTTTGAAACTAAAAACACTCAGCACCTGTACTTAAATCTCACCTTTCATGGACAATGTGCAAAAAAACATTTCCATTTCATCACAGAAACTTTTTTCTTCCTATATGTACTAGAGACCACATTCACTTTGAAGAAAGGTAACATGTATCAAATACAGACAGTACTTTGTATTCACGCCTTACCCCTCACTCCCTCTACTGAATGCCAAAAGGACGTTAACTTACATACATGTACTTAAAGCCCTTTTGGCTTTTAACAAACTACTCAAATGTACCTGACCCACAAAAAGGGCATAATATTAATAACCCTACAAGGTACAGTGCACACATTCATTGCCTCTCAGTTGAATACACATTACACAATATATGCTTACTCATCTACAAATATGAGGGAACAATCAGTGCATGGTAGCCAGGTTTCATCTTCTGCGCCATTCATAAAAAGTAGATCCACCACGTTACCGGACTTTGACTCTTTACATCTACATGTACTACACAGTACTTCCATGCACCATCATTATCATCTAAAGTATAGTACCCGTAGTATACAAACAAATCTGAAGTGTATGCTCTTGCACAATGATGTCTAATGTGCAGAACTAAATGTGTACATACAGTAGATACTTCAGAGCTGCATTTAAATCTCTACTGTGTTTTAAAGCCTGTTATTTCTACTCAAGAGGCAAACTCCTAAAATGGGATAATGAAAAAGTTGGACTGTTTGTGAAGTGTAAACAGACCAATTTCATAATAAATAGACCAGTTTACAATTCAAATCTATACATGTTTCTTTCCTGGGGACCTACAGTACATGTAGTGACCAGGTATTCTATTAACTTGTTATTAATGAATGAACTACAATACTTGGAATCCTATCTGAACTCATTGATTGTTGCTATGTTGGGAAAAGCCTCATTCAAGCTTACGTTTCTTTAAAAACTATTAAACTACGCATACAATATGAATATCTTGGTAAACCAGTTTATTGCAGCATAATCACTAGAAGTAAAATGTTAGGTTTCTACTAAAATTTCACAGTATATAATGTCACCATCTATAACATTAACTTCTGAATATGATATGAATGGCCTTTCTACTGTACGTATGATGTGGGAGTAAATCACACTTACAAAATGTGACTGGTCAGCCTAGTGTTCTAAAAACAGGCCTACCGTATTCCATTGACATTGCAGCAGTGAGATGTATAATTCCAATTCGATTCAATTAATCCACATATTTACATAATAATGTCGCCACCTATCATATTAATATAAAACAATTAATCTTCTTGATCGAAGAGCACAACACATATGTATTGTCACTTATAGTGGTTTTCAATATCAAAGTGCATTGTCACTCATTAATTGTGCAATGCTCCATTTGTGTATGTTGTAATCGCCAGCAATGACTCTGCAATTTATGATTGCCGGAACACTGGAGGTCATTATAGTATATATACACAGGTGAATTGCCGTTTTGTATACAACCTGTATGTCTGCTTTCCATATGGTCTAATCTCCAATTAGTTTACTACCCTTTTGGTCTAGTGTTGATTTAGTCTAATTCCCAGTTTGTATAGTGCCCATTTCGTCTACTTTCCTTAAGGTCTAATCATCATTTGATGATTATTATCATTCATGATTAAATGGATATCAGACCATACGGATAGTGGACAAAATAGGCATTAGACAAACCTGGGAGTTAGACTTAATGAACAATAAGCCACATGGGTAGTAGACTTATTGGCGATTAGACCTAATGGAAATTAGACCAAATGACTATAAACCTAAGTCGTCATTAGACCAAATGATAAGTAGACGAAATGATTATTAGAGCATGTGGATAGAAAGCAGGCTCGGTATAGACCTATTGGAAATAGACCAACTGGAAAATAGACGAACTGGTTGTAGACTAAACAGCAATAAACCTACATGTATACGCATTGGCCCTGGGTACTGTATACAAGCAGTGTGTATCATGCCCATTCATACATGTACCGTATTGGCTTAACACCAGAATGGTGTTGAATTCCCCATGAGAGCCAACTACTACGCGTCTTTAAGTGGATAACATTTACATATAAAGGTCATGGGTTTGAACCCTGGAACTCCAATCATGTCATTAAGCAAGGCATTTCATCTTCATTGCTTGCTCTCCACCCGGGTGTTAAACAGGTACCAGGTAGAAAGTGAACGTTGAATTAGCATGCGCGCCCATTAAAATGTTGAATGGCTGAAATAATCTACTAGGAAATGGAGAGTGAGTACCGCAATTGCAAACATTGTACCAAATTCAATGATACACGGTAAACACTAATAGTAACTGATAAAGTGCTTAAAAAATACCAACTATTCCGATTTCATAAACAGAAATCATAGGGCTAGAACATGGAATCTTTCTTCTGACAATCTGATCTAGTGACAGATGCAATTTTTTTTTGGTGAAAATTTGTTTAAATATAAAATACAAATATGACCTTAGTTTTCAGGGTACACATAACACCCTTTGTGCATAAGAGTGATGACACTGCTTTATTCAATAAACATAATTGGACTGCAGGGAATACAATAAACTTCACTGCAGATTCAGATTCCAGGATGGGAATAGTAGGTGTAAGAAGCGCCTTAAGGGGATAGTTGAGTTCTGTTGCAGAGAGCGCTACACAAAATAATTTTTTTGGTGAGATAATGAAAAACTGAGTGTCAAATTGAAAAGAACATAATATTTTAATGACAAAATCATCTTTTTTTGATCAAAATCAGTTCAGAGACGGCATAAATATAACAATTCCCAATACTTGTGTACCACCACAAATATTAGATATTTTGAAAAATTTGAAGAAAAAAAAGTTTAAAAAACCGAAATAACGCCTTTTACGTTGTATTTCAGCCAATGACGAAGTTGGTCTTTTTTTGTTGGCATTTTCGTGTTGCTTACAGTGTATGTTACCCACAATTAGACGGCTCATGTATTGTTATTTTTAATTAATAATTAATTAACGGTCACCATGTTTTTTTGAAAGTGGAGCTGAATTGGTATGATCGTATTGGCTAAATTTCACACATTTTGGGGTCTAAAATTACCTTCATAGCAATTTTGGGTTCTAAAAGGGCACCTTAAATGTCATAGATAAGAATAAGAGCAATAACCATGCACCTTTGAAGGCATTTGCGGTCTGAAAACAGGACTCAACTATCCCTTTAAATGGACTACGGTAGACATTTGGGAGGATATTAGAAAGACTCCTGAAGGCCACTGATTCTTCAATGTACTATTAAAAATGTAAGGCATCTTGAAAGAGATTACAGACTCATTAAAGGTCAGGAGTTCCCAATTTCCATGATGCATGAATTTCAAATAAGGGCAAGAAATTGATATCAGTATACATCTTAACATCACAATACCCTTGCTTCCACTAAAGGCCTTGAATATAACAAAGACAGAATAGTTGCAAGGATATTAAAAAGATTCATTAAGTCGGAGTACAAAATGATTGTTTGACCGTCTATAAATAATTGGGACTAAGAAGACTACATGCAGGAACAGAATTCTTTCTTTACATTTGGATTCCCTTTTGAAGAATTTACCACCAAATACCGGTATGCTTTTATCACTGAGTAGGTCATGACATTATGAAGACAAATATGCTTTAAAATATCAAGCAAGACCTACAGTGTACATGTAAATGTAGTAGACTGAGTTATTGCATACATGTAACAGTGAAACCCTTGCTACTTTCTTTGATATCAAAAGTGTTATGCAACTTTTAACGATCCACACAGAATTACTCTACATCATATGTATGGAATGTTTAGTCAAGTAATGCAGTGATCATTGTGCAATTGTAACATGATACATAATGTACATATGTACTGGCAATACAAATTTACAATCGATTTCATATCCAATTTGAACCTAAAACCCCCAACAAATTGTACATTTACAACTGCATAATCGACTGTTTTTATATCAAATGATGCAAATGTAATGAACAAAAGCAAATCTAAGATAATATTTGTCATGCCACTATTCCAATACATGTACATTGTTTCTACATTTTAAAGTAATTTGCTCTTTCCTAAAGCCCACATGCACTACATGTCCATACTGTATGCTCCAAATGTCCTCTAAATACATTAACGCAGCAATTTATTCACACAAGATTGGTAAACTGTAGTACTTAACCTCCCAACGGCAGGTGTGCCGCCGCCGTATGCGATAGGGGGTAGTTGAGAAGGTTCCTAGCAACACAGCCTTAGTTTAAAATAGAAGGCTACATTTAGCAAAATCATATTCAGTATGTACACTGCACACCATATGCACCGTGTATACAGGGAGGCCACAATGCCTATTCATCCTTACGATTGAAACTCTTCCAAAAGCAAGATGAAGAATTAATCAATGTCTTAATACTGTTATTGGTTTGATTTATTCAAGTTCAGGTACAGTGATGGGTATAACTTAATTTACATCAGCTTAAATAAAAATGCTTCATGTACATACAGATTAAACACTAATGTACATGTATGCACTCATAATGGTATGCACAATGGCCACATACTTAATGCATGCAGGTACCCTCATAAAATCGTTGAATTCCTCACAAGGAGAAATAGGCCCTTGTTTCAGAGCTACAGACGTTCATTTCGTTCCTGAAAAAACTTATCCATGGGTCTGATCTAAATGCAAATAGCTAGAGTTCAACATCAAAATATAAAATACCTGGTATTAAAGATCTCGACAAGGAAGAAAACACAATTCCATTGCGGACTAAGGTAATCGCATCTTTCTTTTTGAAATACAGAAAAGCTGGTTTGAACACTATACACAACATACATGTACATACGCTGTTCATGTACAGTGTATGTATTCATAATGTAGTTCTGGGGATTGTACATCAACCTTGCATATTTGCATATTGCTCATGAAAAGTATGTCTAGATTTATACCATTGTAATATTACCCAACATTTCAAAGGTGATGCACAGGACTAATGAAATTGTCGTAAGGTAACTGAATTCGTACTTAAGTGCCTTGATACCAATTATTTCACTCACCTCACAACTAATTGTATTTCAATAGTCAGAACGTAAATTACATACATAACGTGTTGTTAATAGGTAGGGCAAGCCATAATGTTTGTGTAATTTAAATTCTGACTAATGAGATACATTTATTTGTATCAGGTGAATGAAATAATTTGTACCAGGCGCTTCACAAAGGCATATGCACAAATTTTGTTACTATATTACGAAAATGGCCTTGGGAATAATTTGTTGTTGTTCAAAGTCTTTTTGATCGTGTCGTATGTAGCCCAAACAACACAATGCTGCAATTATACATAAATGTATGGATTCCAGCATGTCTGTGTATGAAGCGCTACATGTACTTACCCTTTCCCCCTGTGTACAATGTACATGTATGTACGCGGAGAAGCTGCGTATGAAAACTGCAGGTGTTAAGGATATTCATAACTACAACCTACATGTACATGGAACTCTTATCAAAATTTCTCATAGTCCCTGATCGATATAATTTGCCCTAGAATGGACTTTCCTGAAAAGATGGAACCAACAAAATATGACTTAATCTATTCTGTATTCTATTCATTGTAAAGAAGAGTTTAACATCTTCAGTAGATCTCACAGATATACAGCACATAATATTTTATTCCCGAGGAGAGGATATCTTGAAGTAAAAGTAGTAAGATATTTCTGAAGTAATAATAATTCAACTTTTGAAGTGAGCTGATATTTTGTTCAAGTACAAAAATGCATGAAAAATAGAATAAATGAGACCTGTACTAATGTATCAATGTTTTGATAAATTTTGAGACTACTACAATCTGTAACCTCTTTAATACATGACCTTATATGTAAGAGCATGCAAAACAGTTTTCTGAATTTCATGTTTGGTTCTAAATTCTTACAGATGTAGAGAGAGAAAGAAAGAAAGAAAACTAGACATATAATACTTGTTTGGAACAAGTATAGGTGGGCTGGTCAACTTAAATTTTAAACAAAATAGAGCAAAAATAAGCGAGATACTGCTTTTAAATTCTTAAAAAACAATATCATGTAGTTTCATGACGTAAACGAAATTCACCTACTATAGGGATAACGCAAATTATGAAATGTTTGACATGAGGCCTTTAATCGAGATTTTCACTATGATGACGTCATCAAAATGAAAAATGGTCATTTTTAAGCTTGTAGAGAATTGTCTTAGCTACAACATATCGAAATTTTGAAGAAAATTGATCAACATTTACAGAGATACAATCAATTTTACATAAATATGCTGACGTCATAATATGCAAATTCGTATTTTGAGTTCCAAGGCCGTTGTGATGATGTCACGATACACTTAATGGCCAAATGAGACATGAAATCATATCTCCGACTCATACTCTATCTAAATATGAAAAAAGATTGAGGATCCCGGTGCATTCCAAAGAGCTATAGTGGATTTTGTATAGGCATGTTTTTGCCCATATATGCTATGTATTATAAGAGCTCGCGCGCACGGATATTTATCTTAAATGGACGCTCATCTTGTTATTAATGGTCATAAAGATATGAACGTGGTATCAAATTGTACAAACAAATATATGAAATATCATGAAAGAAAAAAAATGGCGATTCTATGTTATGTAATGGTGTTACGCGCGAAAACGCGCGCGCATGCGCGTGTGCGGGATTTTTTTATGAAATGCTTAAAATGGCCTGAAACGTATGTAAAATAAATTTAAGACGATTTTGAGCATTTTGAAATTTTGCGTGCGCACTGACGCGCGGACGTACGCGCACGCGCGCGTTTTTTGACCTGAAATTGACCGGACTGATATTGAACTTGATCATGATAAATATGAATGAGAAATGGTTTTTGGTTATGAAGATATGATCATAAGTTGATTTTCAGAAAATTTCATAAAATGGCGGCTAGATGACGTCATCAGTCAAGGTCAAGGTTGAAAAAATGTCTGTGTTTCGTTCTAATGCCTATACATACGTGTGCCAAATTTCAAGGTATTTGATTGAACCATTTTCAAGTTATCTTGCTCACAAAAAAGTGGGTCGAAATAAGAAAAATAAATAATAAATAAATAATAAAGGCAATTTTAACAAAATTATAAGGTGGTCTGTATTAGATACAGCCCACCTAATAATATGTATGTGATGTCAGAGTCCCCCCCCCCCTCCACCCAATAATGGAATAACAGTGTTTGATCCACCATATATACTTGTAACAATTATATTTTGGATGAAAGTGGAATGGCTTCGATTACAAAAATGCAGCATGTGCAATGATACATGTTTACATATATATCCATGTGATATGCAATATAAAGTGAGTCACCTTTTCAGGGCCATTGATATATTGATATTATTTTACAAATATCCCTCTCCAGGGCTTGAATTTAGCGGTGGCCCGGTGCCAATGGCCACCTGAAACGCTGTCGGGCCACCTGAAATCACCGACTAGATGGCCCGGCTGGCCACCCAAATATTTGGACAGTAATATATAAATTATTTATCAACAACTTGTTTAACCTTTAGATCTACCCGAAACCGAGGCGACATTTATTTTTCCAAGCTTTTCCAAGCGACGCAATCCGATCTATCAAACAAGGAAATGTTTCGTTTCGCATACTAACTTTATAAAAACGATGCACGCCGTCGCGTAGGTACTTAACAAGCCTTCGATTAAGCGGGCGCAGGGCGCAAATTTGCGCTCATAAAACCACCAATTGCGCCCATAATCATCTAAAACTAGACGGCAAGGCGCAAGTGTTTGCCGTGAAAATGCGCCCATAAATTATTAGAACAGACAAAATACACGAATGATTCGTAAAGGGCTCATTTTCACGGAAACACTTGCGCCTTATAAAATCACTAAATACGAAGCTAGTAGAGAGCTCGCGCGGCAAACTGTTCGTGATTCGGGATCGATTGCGAACAGTTTTCCGCGCACGAGCTCTCTACTAGCTTCGTATTTAGTGCTTAATAAGGCGCAAGTGTTTCGTGAAAATGCGCCCTTATCTAGCGCACTAGACTAGGTACGTACGTTCCATAGAGATATAGTCTATACTATGGTACGTTCAGATCATGCGATCGCTAAAATGCTGTCGCGATGGCGCACGCACAGTGTACGTACGTACAAATGTATCGAAGGATCAAGAAAACAAATCGTGAAATTGAGAAATAAACAAGCATTCACATAGTCATTAGAGATCTGTCGAGGTTTGTTTGTAGATCTAGTTTATTATTTCATCTTAAATAGAATTAATAATTCTCTTATTGATAAGTTAAGAACACCTACGATGTTCTCGATCATAGTTACTCTCATTTTGCCAGCAGCCGACCTAGCGTTGTTGTGGCAGAAAGCTAGCCGGCCAGCTTCCCACGAGTCCGGTCTCGGTAAAATTGCGCGCGCTGCGACTCTCCGAAGCTGCGTTGGTCTTGTTGACAAACTCTAGCCCGCTAGGATCGGGCGACGGACCATTCGTGGTATGATGAGAGTGTGTGTGCGAGGTACGATTTTGGTTACGAGAACACACGTTACGAATTACGCAACTTTTTAGTACGAATATTTGGTCAATTTTCTTCTTATTTCTTTGGTTATACAACAATTAAAAAGATAATTTCTTCAAATTTGCTCCTACTGCCGAGAGTGTGGCGGAAGGTTTGTGTGTCTATTCATTTGCTCATCAATATTTTTAGTTACTTTAATTAACTCCAGGAAGCTCCAACACCGGCGCCGGTGTTGGAGCTTCCTGGAGTTACTGTGATGTTCTTAATCAATCTTTCCTGTTGATCTTGTTAAGATTAAAAAGTTATTAAATTGATCGTAGACCCTATTCACATTATGAAATTAACTACTTTGCACTTATTTAAGTTGTGTAATTAGTTGTCATCTGTTTTTGGAAAATTGCCCCTGGTTCTTAAGAAATTGCCCCTTGCTCTGGTAAATCCCCGCGGGCAAGGGGCAACTTTTAAAAATGAATTGCCCCTTGCTCCTGGCTGCTTAATCTAAGGCTAGTTTCATTATTAAATACAGCTCATGCTGCTTTTAACCCGTATAATTTATGCATTTTTTTATTAAACATTTGCATTATTTAATAACGCATAAAAGTGGGGCCACCTGAAAATCCATTTGGCCACCCAGATCTCCTACCCAAGTGGCCCTGCTGGCCACCTCAAAAAAAAGTTAAGGGCAAGCCCTGCTCTCTGTCCCCAACTTGATTAATTTTCAATTTACAAAACCAAACTACCCAAATTAATCCTGAACTAATTGCAGATGCAACCTACCATTTGCTAGAGGATTTCTGCCAGGATTGGTACTCAAGACTTTCTTCATCTTTTCGTAGCAAGCGAAGTAGAGTGCATGGGCGGGTCCTGCCCCGAGCGCCACCGCGTTGATACCCCTCATGGTGCCGTTGGCGCCCTCGTTCCGGATAATTGTAGTCAGGCCATTGAAAACATTTTTGTATATTGCATTGGGTGAAGGCTTCATACATTGCATTCGTGTCTGTGTACAAGGAGAGAGAGAGAGAGAGGTGGGGGAGGGGCAGTGGGAAGGGCAGTGGGAGGGGCAGTGGGAGGGAAAGGGAGAGAGGGGGAGGGACGGTGGGGACAGGGGGAGGAAGGAGAGGGAGGGAAGAGAGGGGAAGGGAGGGAAGAGAGTGGAAGGGAGGGAATAGAGGGGAAGTGAGGGGGAGAGAGGGGGAGAGAGGGGAAGGGAGGGGGAGAGAGAGGAAGGGAGGGTGAGAGAGGGGAAGGGAGGAGGAGAGAGGGGAGAGAGGGGAGAGAGGGGAGAGAGGGGAAGGGAGGGGGAAGGGAGGGAGAAAGAGATAGAATGGGAGGGGTGGGGAGAGGGAGGGAGGGAGAAGAGGAGAAAATATGAAATTAACTTGTGAAATCTGAGTAAGGTGATTCATTTCAATTACTAAAAATGCTGTAGCAAAAGAAAATGACAATAAAGAGCAGTGCACTTAAAATGCTCAAAATCCTGGGGAGTGTTTCACAAAGACTAAGAACTTTAAGTTAGACTTACATTTACATGTAACTATGGCAGACCATTCATGCCACATTGCCACTGTTTGCTCTCACCATTATGATCTTTAGATAATATCTTTTCCTTCAATACCGAATTATCCAAAATGTAAATTCTGTAGATTTGTGACCATGATTTGAATGTCCTTTCAGAGACCAATGCCAGTAAATTGGTGAGAGCAAACAGTGGCATGAAGGGCCTGCCATAGTCAAGTCCAATTCAAAGTCAATCTTAGTCTTTGTGAATCACTCCTCAGATAGCACAAATTAAGGGTTAAGGCAGGGCTCTAACACTGAATGTTTTTGCAGTGTTGCAAGGGATCCATTTTGACATTTTAGGTCATGTATGCATGGGCTCCACATTACAATTCTAAAGTCTAGGGGTCCGGAATAAGATTTTGGGAGCCCAATTATACTGGACACATGTTAGTGTCGAACCCTTTGTTAGAACTTAGAAAACAAGTTTTAATCTGTTAACCACGGCCTTGTAATTTCTTCTTCACGATTTGAACTGCTGACATACAGTATAACCCTGTACAATACACTTCCCAACAGTTTAAGTCGGAAAGTCCCAGCCAAGATTGCAGTATCATTATCCTGTTCATTTTTCCCAGTATCAGAGGTCTGCACAGGAAGTGGCAAGTGACAAGCACTGTGCAGTACATGAACATATCCATGGATACATACTACATGTAATTTACACTTAGTTCCCAGAAAAGGAAATCTGCCTGCCTAGAGAGTCAGCCATCTTGAAATCTAACTTCTAAAGAAGTACTCTGCTGGGTCTCGTATTTGCACTGTTTTTTGAGTCAGGACATACAAGTCTTTGTACTGACATATTTGACAGGTCTATTGTTCATTACAAGGTACATGTACGTACCTGCCAAATAGAGATGCAAGGCATATAAAACCCTATACACAATGTACCCTGTATGCATTAACAGGCAATTTCCATCCCCATTCCTTAAAGTTCTGCCTATTTCTTTGTGTTTTTTTTCAAGATCAAAGAGAACATAATTACATTTATAAGCTATGCCGAGGAGTATCAACATCAACAGTTGAGAACCCATCATAACTATTATTATTATCATTAATATTGCAGCCCTATTACTCTAAAATTCATACACTGTACATGTACTCGTGTGCTTGTACTGGAAATAATCGAGTAGCAGCTAGGTTTTCAAACCCATTGATTTTCACACTATGCTTGAAATCACACCTTCCCCCGAGTACAGTACCGTTGAATAGCCATTTCCGCTCAAAGAAAAACACATGTTCTTTACAGAAATGACACTTTCCTTCTCAAAACCTGAAGGTACTGAATGCCAGTAGCTTCCATGAGGGGGAAGTGAACAAAAAATAATGCAGAGTATTTACTTCATTCACAGGTGCTCTGTTTGCTATACATGAGGTACAAGATTTTGTCAGGGTGCGACAGTTCATTTAGTTTTATCTGTATTCACCCTTCTTTAAAAAAATAATTTGATTTCGTAATAAACTGTGATTTCTACAGTCACCTACCTACAGCTCTTTATAAATGAGGATTTATGTATTGGCTTTAAAAAATTCTTTTCTTTGCATCCACAGCACAGCAAAGGTGGGCAGCCTTTTATAAAGAAATGGTTAACTGTTAGAATTACTATAATAATATCCTTATAAATTACCATTTCTTATCAAACATTGCAAAGAAAATATGTGAGTGGTTGGCAGAATATGTTACATTTCTTAAGGGATTTAATGAATGAAACTACAATATTTAAAAATGCAGGTATCTGTTGCGATCTACTACACGACAAAAAACCTGCTTGTTTACTTCGCTCTACATGTATGTAATCTGCAAATAAAAGAGATATATCTAAATGCCGTAAACAGTGTAATTAGTAATACAGCTTGATCTCCATTATTAAGAATTAGGAAATAATCTGTTGTTATCTTTTATTTGTTAAACACAGTACTACGCCTCTTTGTACTTTGTACCATCTCTTTTCATTCCCTTTTCAAATGCTAATCTGCGACCTTCCCCTTATAAAGACTTCCTATAATAAACATGCTACCTTGTGATTTAAAAAGAAGATCAAGTTCTAGTAAAGGAAATACTAATTTGAGCTTCTTGTGTAACTTTGGCAAAATAAAATATCAGAACTTTCCCCTCAAGTGGACTGCTCTGCAATTGCCTTGATATTTGAAATACGACAAGAAAAAGCTTTAAAAGAAGTTCAGACACAATAGTTTTATTACACATGTGTGTTGCAACACATCCCTATTTTTGTACGCAGCGCAGTTGACTATGTCTTTTAAGTACCTGATGATTTTAACACAGGTCTCCAAAATACAAAATTACTTATTTCACTACAAAATCTACTTTTCTTAATTGTTTTTATCAAAATTACAATCGCATGACAAGAAATTAAAGTCCTGTTTGATTTACAACAACAAGAAACATCTCATTTGTATTACAACCTCAATCTACATTGCATCACTTACATGAGTCAGCAAAAACAATATACATGAACTATTTACATTGTAACATAAAAATAGTAAAATACACCCACAAAATTAAAAAAGAAGAGAATACCTACATGTAGAATGACATCATTTATCAGGCGCATGTCAGTTTTTTTTAACATTTAACAGTGACCATGACCCCCCCCCCCCCTCTTTTTAGGGTTAAGTTTCTAGCATACCTGTGCATACATTTCTTCAGCTTTTTGTCTTTTTCACTGAATAAACTTATTAAAATTCAAATGATGTACATGTAGGACAATTTAAATGTACATGTAAGGCTTGTATAAAGCATGTGTAGACCAGGGACCCGTCTCTGTGTAGACCAAATCAAACACTCTACACTTCCTTCTATTCTGTGTCAATACCTGTATACAAAGCTACACACGATTGGATTCTATCACACACTTTGTGCATGGTACAGTTTTTCAGGAAAGTAATACGGTACTGGTACCCTCTATACCTGTACCTCCATGGTCATGTACACAATGAAGAGTTGAGCTGAGAATCTGTTTTTACGAGGACGGCAGATGGGTTACAGAATCATGAATTACAGTGTTAAACTGTAAGTGCATGAAATATGAACTCTAATGGACATGTCCATTGACTGTAGAAATGTGAAAAATTGCAAGTCATTATTTGCTGTACCAGTACTTACATGTACCATGCTCCAGAAGGTTTAACCAGCTACCTTCAAAGAGAATGCATTGAAATTGAATAGCAAACTTGGTTTGGTGGATATACATGTACAATGAACTCTGTGTCATCCAGTAGTTGCATTTCACTTCATTTGCCTTTATTTACCCAGGGATATAATATAACCACGTAAGTGCTTATTATGCCAGGGATTTGTGTCCAATTCGTTTTTTGAGCAACTTTATATTAGAATACCCCACCTCAAAAATTGACCAGATGTTCATAGTACCCACATGCTTCACCAATAAAGAATATAAGACTATGTTTCTTATTGATTAGGTTTACAAACAGTAAACCTAAGCCTAACCCTGATCCTGACTGTTACGCTAGGTCTATGACGTTTATGTACATAAACCCTATTGGTTGGGTATTCTAAAGTTAAGCCCTTTTTCTAATCATTACCATATCAAAGAAGAGTTGCAGACACGGTACACTTCAACCAAAGAAACTTTGTTTTGGCAGCCATTCAAGAAAGACAAAAATGAAGTAGATTAACAACCTATCGTAAAACGCTTTGTGTACTATGTATAGGGAGCCCCCTCCCCCCCCCCCCCAAAAAAAAAGCTGTGAATTCTTCCTACCCAAATTACAGTATTTGGCCATATAGAGCAGCACCCGCCATGGCCTTTTGGCAAAGGCACTTCCTCAGTTCCTGTTCCCATACGATTACATTGGGTCTAGAACTGGAAGTCAGATAGAAATTTTAGTTTCAGAACCTAAAAACTATAAGTAACAGATGGTCCCCTCATAGATCTCATCAAATCATCGGGGGAGGTCATGAAACCTGAACAATAGTTAAATAAAATAAGGAATTGGTTGACACTGCTGTACATTCTCTATGGAAGCTGGAAGTGTAAGAAACCTTGTCTTATCGTCTCCCCCAGTATCGTATCTACGCATGTGCTGATCTGCGGAGTGTAGGATGAAGGTTGCCACCTGGCCTATTTTTTAATGTCAGAGACAAATCTTTGGATGACATTATCATCATCATAAACTCCACATCGACCGGCACATTCAGGAAGGCCATTGATAGAGCCTTCTGAGTACCCCTGGCCCTGCACCCTCTCTCAACAGATGCGTTTATGCCCAGCAGGGCCCTGCATTGCGTGGTATAGATCCAGATCCAGCTTATCTTTGAAATATGAAGTATGTGTAGACTGTAGTCTACTATGCCACATCAATCATGGTTTAGCTTTAGGTAAACACTCGTTCATTTGCACAAACACTTTGAGTGTCGAGTCTAACGTTTGACTGAAGAAGAAAAAAAGCGACCCAAAATCAGACTAAGACTAAGAGTAGAAGACTTAGTATCGAGGCACCATGCCCATGATCATTGACCATGGCCGGTGGGTGAAAAAATGACGATGTTGTCCAACAAATGTATTTCACCTTAATCAGTAGGGGCCCTGGTCCGAGAATAAGGATTGTCTGCACATATGAGGATCCTCTTCGTAAACACGGACAGATGCGTCCGCAAAAATAAGGATCGTCTGCATTTTAGCTGACAATTCTGATCTGCGCATTGGTGATACAAAAAACTGGTTCCGATATGATTTTCTTGATGCATTTTACATCGTCTTTGTACAGCGTTTCGAGCGATAGATCCTCGGGAAGACGGACAACCCATTTCAGGCGAAATGTGGACGATCCTTATTTTTTTAGGACGCATAACAAGGATACTCATTCTCAGACCAGCGCCCTTATTAATAATAATGACTACCAAATCATGATCTTTTTGTTCCAATCAAAGACTAAGAGACAAATAAATGTCAATCCTAAACAACTCCAGATATTTTGAACAATGTGCAAAAAAAATGTTAAAGGTAATTGTCTTCTCATTTTGTAAAACATGCATTTTCATTTCAATTAAAACCGTTTTAAAAAACAAAAACAGTTGTGTTTCATCAAATTACAATGGCAATGCCAATGCCATGGCATGCAGAGAACTTGAGACCTCTAGACCCTTTATTGCATAATTTCCATCGCTCGTGCCTCATGTCAGCTCTAGCTTCAACCGATTTTCCACTCCGATATCAACTTACTTTCACACTATCAACCGGGTACATGACACAGTGCTCGGCCATGCCCGCAAAAGCACCGGCGATCAGATGCGTCGTCAGAGTGGAGCTCTCGGGTAAGGCCTCGTAATCGTCGTAGTCATTCAAATGCCCAGCAGAGTCATATCCTCGGCTCGTCTCTTCAGCGGCATCATTATTGTCCATTTCTGAGATGCGCTGACGAAGAGACGGCAATTCATAGTCCGAAATCCGTGGTAACTTTTTCAGAGCTTCCAACTTAGGAGAGGAAAATTCGGCCACTCTAGTTAAAGACGACGTTTTCTCCATCAGGATTTTCAGTCAACCAGCCACGTTTTTTAACGCGTGTTACGAAACTGCCATCGTATTGCGTGTAGAAGATGAATACGGTACGAGTGTATTGTGCGTACGTACCAGGGAGCTCGAGGGAGGTGAGACATGCACACTTTATATTTGCAATGAACCCGGAAGTAATTGGAGTTGCTTGAGCGCGCGAGAATCCGCAATAAACTTTTGGTCGAGGGGGTGTGGCTGGGGCAGGTGGTGGTCACATTGTTGAGTTGTCGGGGAAATCCCGTTGGCGTTGTTTTGAGACCGATCTTGATTATTAAGCTTACCGCGATACCCACAGAGAAATCTGCCAGAGCGCCATGCGCAAGCAGCGCAACCCATTTCTGCCACGCCCACTTATCATGGACAGTACTTTTTTTCTTCACAAAAATCATATCAAAAGAGATATTAAAATCAAACAAAATAATATGTACGCTAAAGCCTAAGGTGTTGGCCCAAAATCTTGAAATCTATACGGTCGGCTTTTTATAAAGGATGTTTTTTTTAACGTTTAAAAAAAAAAGAGAGAAATATATCAGCTCAAAGAGGGACCAAAAACAAACAAAAAGGTAACAAAACAAAATAATTAGATTTCCGACCCATGTTTTGGCACCTAAAGGGTAATACAACATCTTTCGTTTAAGGCCTAATATAGGTACATAAATAATGTCCTTAGAAATTCCAGGTGGCAAAGTCCTGAAATTTCTGCATGTCTTTCTCGGCATAAATTTTCTTTTTGCGAACCAAATTTGATGCATTTTACATCGAGTCATCTCAAGTGACCTGTTTCTGCATTATCCGGTTTTTTATATGGAAAAAAATGCATATATTATATTGCTCTTAAAAGCTTTGAAGAAGGAAAAAGTTGTAATTTAGCTCATGTCCAGTGATTGGCTATTCTTCTTTTTCCGGCTCCTCATCTCTCACTACTGCCTCTTTCTTCTTTCTTCTTCTTCTTCTTCTTCTTCTTCTTCTTCTTCTTCTTCTTCTTCTTCTTCTTCTTCTTCTTCTCTTTCTTCTTCTTCTTCTTCTTCTTCTTCTCTTTCTTCTTCTTCTTCTTCTTCTTCTTCTTCTTCTTAATCTTCAATCTTCTTTCACTAAGGCTACGCCTTTCTTCTTCTTCTTCTCCTCCTCTTCTCTCTATAGTCATTACTACCGGCTTTTCTTCTATTCATCCTATTCTCTCACTACTATACGCCTTTCTTCTCATCCTCTCCCCTCACTACTACCCCTTTCTTTTCTCATTATCTTCTTCTCCTCCTCATCTCTCAATCTTTCACAGCCTGCCTCTTTCTTCTTCTCCTCCTCTTTTCCGACTCCTGCCCCTTACTTCTCCTCCTTTTCCTCACTACTCACACTGCTATCCCTTTCTTCTTTCCATCTCTTACTACTACTAAACCTTTCTTCTTCTCCTCCTCTTCTCTCACTATATACTACTCCTTTCTTCTTCTCATCCTGTTTTCTCACTATTGCCCCCTTCTTCTTCTCCACTACTATACACCTTTCTTCTTTTCCTCTTCTCTTACTACTACCCCTTTCTATTCTCTTCTCTCAATCCTACCCCTTTCTATTCTTCTCTTCTGTCACTACTGCCCCTTTTCTCTTACTATTGCCCCTTTCTTCTTCTCCTCTTTTGTTACTATTGCCCTTCTTCTTCTTCTCATCTTTTCTTACTATTGCCCTTTCTTCTTTACCTCCTCTTCTCTTACTACTCCACCGTTCTTCTTCTCCTCCTCTTCTCATACTATTGCCCCTTTCTTCTTTACCTCCTCTTCTCTTACTACTCCACCGTTCTTCTTCTCCTCTTCTCATACTATTGCCCCTATCTTCTTTACCTCCTCTTCTCTTACTACTCCACCGTTCTTCTCTTCCTCTTCTTCTCACTACCCCTTTCTACTTCTTTTTAAAATCTTCTTCTCCTTCTTTTTCTTCTTCTACTTTTTCCTTTCTCTTAACTACCTTTCTCCCACCATCATTCAATTCCTAATCTAATGCCATCTGGTTAAACAAAAATGCAGCAATGTACTAATATTTCATTGATTTTATGCAATTTATTTTGATGTTACATTTTACCACCAGTATGTTTGTCTTTTGGTAAATGTACAATGAACAAATCAAAGCTAATAAACATTCCAGTTTGTGATAAAGTGCAAGTTTGAATGGCACAAGTTTATACATATACATGTAATCATCATTACACAACTGAATCACAGAAAAGAAAGCATGTATGATTTATATTCAGGTATACATGTCATTTCTTGAATAAAGAAATTTGTTACATCAACATTATTTGTTTTAACGAGAATAATGCCTAATTAGCCATACTTGTAAAACCTTTCTCACCGTTAATATTGTCTAGATATTCCTGATTGCTCTTTCAAAAACCACCTTTGAAGTTTTTTGTTATATTAGGATATACTGTCCACAAATTAAAACCTAGAATCTTAAAATTACGTGAGAATTATGGAATATAATTCCCATTAAAAAGCTTAGAGGAAGATGGCTAGATTCATTCTCTCCAGTTTGTTATTGGTAATAGGTCTATCAACTGCTTAAAACATACAATCTTAGCACACAACATAAACAAATATGGCATTATTTTAACGTGCTATTCCAGAGATAATGGATTATTGTTTATTTGGCAAATTAAAGATTCACTTTTTAGCATTCATCTTAATGTCATCAAGAGTACTTTGGAATTAAAAAGGTCACAATTCCTGAAAATACATGGAGAATTTATAAGGACAAAAATATACGCTCCCTTTTGTCTAAACAGGTAAATTCAATAGACAAATGCTAATGTTGTTGCTCACAATAAGATCCACAGATAGTGAATTTATCGTCTACCAAGTAATTTTATTTTGCAATGTTGATACAATGCGTTTCATCATATGGTCCCATGAAAATGCCTCTAAAACAAAATTTACTTGTTTCAAGAAGAATTACTTATGTAAATTATATTCATTTTTAATATCAAGAATTTGGGGATCACAAGTACTGGTTCCTTATCAATTTACGAAGTTTGTTTTCCTCCAAGATATCGACTACTAATTGTGTACGAAACATATTACATTATTACTTGAAAAGACCACCCCATATTATTGCCTCCACAAACTCAGTACCAAATGCTGAGGCACCCTCTATTGGCAACTTTAGTCCAGTGTCATTCTCTTCCTCTGTTTTTATAGTACTGCCTTTAATACAACATGTGTATCAACATGTCAAGACTACACTTTACCGCTCTGTCTATATCTGTACAATTGCACAATATCAAATATCTTTACCATAAAGATTTGAGCAAGATATACATGTATGTACTTTATCTTTGAAAGAGTACACACAAAATTATTACACTATGATTAAGTTTTATAATACAAATAAAGTCTGCCGGTACATCTTTGTCATTTAATGAGAACAAAAAAAGAAATCTATGTACAATAATTATGAAGTAGGATGGCCACAACAAACTTTCAAATATAACTTCAGTGATCCATTTTATGTGCAATAGCAAATGCACAGTTAATACTCATTATGAGCTCATAAAGTAATCATTTTGGATGGCATTATTGTATCAACAACAAAAAATGAAAAATAAATAAAAAATGAGAAAAAAAATCACATTCTTACCAGTAACAATACAAACAGTGAAACTTTAAGAAATTCAGCTAAGTATGCTAATTACATAAATTCTTCAATAAAACTAACTCAAACAACCAAAAGGCACATATTTCCAAATATAAAAAGAGAAATTTTACCTCATACAACAAAATGTCTAAAATCACATAGGTAAAACAAGAACCACTATTCAATATTATTTCCCATGTCTCAAAGTAAACTAATACTTTTAAAAATCATTTTCAGCCACACCAACTCCATACAAGTTTATCACTTGCGGTCTGTTCTCATAAGTTATTGTACAGTGATTTGATATGAAAAGAAGAAAAAAAGACCAAGCCCCCCCCCCCTCCCCCCCCCCAAAAAAAAAAAAAAAAAAATAATAATAATAATAATAATAATAATAATAATAATAATAATAATAATAATACTGGTAAATAAATAAATAGATTAAAAAAAATAAAATAAGTAATAATAATAATAATAATAATAATCACACACTTCATGCTCAAATCACGTCTAAACACTTTTCATTTTTCTAATGTTCACACAGCCGCTTTTATACAAAAACAAGTATTTACATGCATATTTCAAATGAACTTCAGACTGGGACTGCAAGACAACATCATAGTTACCATGCCACACTTTCAAACTGCCCAAGACAAGTGAAAACTTCAATTACATGCTAGTGTGTGTGTGCTGAAACGTACTTGTACTCTGATAGGTCTATTCAGTGCAATATCACATGAACTTTCACTGTATGCTTTATACTTTCCTTAAACAATACTCAATATTCATTTTTACTCAATATGTTCAAACTGACTCGGGAAGACATTCAAGGAAAGTATTCAAAGGGCACAACTCCATGCACAGCACTCAACAAAGAAAAATGAATTCAAAAATTTATACGATCAGATCGTATGAGCATTCATTGCTCTTGTGTGTGACAGTAGCTTTCTTTTTGCTGGGAATACTGAAAAGTCCAAAATGTAGTACTCACTGACATTGAAAAGTCATCCATTTTGGCCAATTTAAAATAGCAGTTTACACAGGACCCCAAAACCCAGTCTATTCTAATAATTGTTTGATTATTTACCATAATTGCAGCTAATAAACCACCGTCATGATCAAAATAATACCAAAATTGTACCTTCTTTAAGCAAAATAAAATGCAGCATATATCATTTCTTTGTAGTTCCAGCTGCAAAAATATATCATTTAAAGCAAAAATTCAAAATTCAAAATTAAATGTTGATTTCATATGACAAAATATTGTACAATACTAATAGAAATATCATTTGATTTAATCCATTCTAAAGAAATCAGATAGGAAAGATAGCTGAATATTGATGCTATAAAGTTGATCTTATCTCTTCAACTAACTGGAGATTAAGACAGAAGGTACATTTCTCCTTAAATATCATCTTTCAAATGGATTTTATAATACTATTTTTAATAGTCCTTAAAAGTTGCCAACTTTGCAGGAACTGAATAGAATCCGCTAAAACCAAAAGCTCAAAGGGACTATCTTCTAAACATAGTTATCTGTAAATACTGAAAGTGAAACCCACTGAAACTTTTAGATACAAATTCAAGCAGTAAATCAGAAATACTTTTATATTCTTTGCATATTCTTAATAATACACATTGATTGAATGTTTCATGATTGCGTATTGCCTCTTCTCCAGTGAATGATTGGAGAGAAGCTGAATCAAGATAATAATAAAAAAAGACAGGGCAGTTCAAGCAGGTACTTATTCTATTCTATTCTTATCTTATAAACTTATCATGATAATTTTTGGATATCTGTGACCTATCTGTGACCTATCTGTGATATTGAGTTGTAAAAAGTGAGCTGTAACAAAACAGTTTGCAAACTGTAAATACGAACAACAAAAACAAAATCTCTAAGAATTAATCTGAGTTGTTTAACATTAATGCTCAATCTAAATTGCAAACCAGAGATTTCAAATTTAGGTATACAAGTCAAATTGCACAATATCAATAAAATAGAAATAGGAAAAAAAAGAAGACCTATTTTGCTTTGTATGAACTGGCTGTTCATTTTAGTTTAAGCGGCTGGTCATCTGACTAGTCATGTGACAGTATTTTTTTTTTTTTCTTCAACTTTTTGTCCTTCCATGTCTTGAGGTTGATATGGTATACCTAATTCATTTATTTCATATATTTATATATATTTGATAAGGGAATTAACTAAAAATCATGACATTTCAAGTTATTCACTGACAATCTATTTTGAGGGTTATTGTATTAATGCAGCCACAATATACTAATCAACTAAAATACTTATCAAAAACAAAAAGTATGAAAATTAACCTAAAGTTCTTTATTTTCCAATTGTAATGATTAAAACATGAAAAGTAAAAATACAAAAAATATCCATCTTGTTAGCATTATTCTATATATCCTAATACACGTCTTTCAATACCAGCAAGTCTGACCCATACAATTTTATAATAATTAGTTACTTTATCCATGTAAAGACAGGGCACTATATCCTTGCAGGGTATTATGAAAAAGACTTACAGATTAGAAATATTGTTCTCAATGCCCATTTACACATGATGCAGGTGGGGATGAAATAGGTGGCTGTGCTTTACAAAGGTCCTAGGCGTACTCTTATCTTTCTATTGTAAAATACATAAATACGAAGCACAATTCTGTCGTGCCACTATAAAAACTTGCTGGGGTTTACGGCGTCATGCCTGAATGAGCCTTTATTCAGTAGCAGCTTTTACATTCCTCACCAAAGCCTGTTCACACTAGATGTATGTATAATATAAGCACCATAAGCATAGTAATCCTTGCTCCCAATACTTCAGGTTCTCTCTGGAAAGGGCATGCTCTTGCCCCTCGTAAGGGTGGGTCGCTGACGAAAGGACTTCTGGCACGTGACCTGCGATATGACGCCCTCCTGTAGCGCCCTCACGATGCGAGCCACAGCTGCGCCTATCTCGACCGCTGACACTGTCTTGTTGCTAAGCAACTGCCAGTCATCTCTCGCAACACCCGGTGGAAGCTAATAAGAGCAAAAACACAAGATAAAGATAGTTTATGATAATGGAAAGAGAATGAGGGAAAGCTTTCAAACTGGAATTTCAGAGAGGTAAGAAATGCAACTCTATAGTCCAAACCTTTTTTTTTTTAAGTGCTGTTAAACTTACAATGTGATCATCCAAATGATTACAGGACATAGGTTTACTATTCAAAATACATTTAAATCACATGAATATTTACTCTCAAGTAATTGGAATGTTGTTTTTTTCTTTTTCAATTCACCTCAAATGATTTTATTTCTCATTCAAAACATTATACAATGAAGTTGCAATGTTATTTGCAATTTAATATAACTATATTCCAAAAAATATACAATGAAACAAGACAAATATAATATTAATGGCACGAGAAAAGAGGAAATAAATTGAAGCAGAACTTTGTGAAGTATTAGTTCCTCAGAGGAATTTTTTATTTGCAATAGAATTCTGAATGCCAAGAGAGATCGATAGTCAAAATACATGTTCCGTCAGGCCAGAAGCATTCAATAGTCCTTAAAATTGATATTTAGCTATTTATTTGGCTAATCAAATTTCAAATTTATTCAAGTTTCCAACAAAACATTACAAATCAATTATAAGCCTTTAAAACAAATTTAAGAAATACATGTTGGAAACAGAGGGGTCCACTAAAAAGCAATGCTTGTACAAGTGTGAACACCTCCCATCAGGCGCGTACGCAGGGGGGGTTTGGGGGGTTAAACCCCCCCCTTTGGAAATTTTTTGTGTGTAAACCCCCCTAAAAAAGACCTAAAACCCCCCCCTTTTGGATTTTTTTTTTTTTTTTTTTTTTTTTTTTTTTTTTAATTATTAAAAAAAAAAAAAAAAAAAAAAATTATTCCCATGGCCGACCTAAAAAAGGTGACCTTACCCCCCCCCCAACGGAGCAAAATGTCAAATTTCCAAATTTCGAGACCAAAAAAAAAAAAAAAAAGTGTCCTCTTACCCCCCCCCCCCCCCCGCTTATTCAGCGGTCGGCTGAGTCGTTGCGAATTTTTTTGGGACCAAAAAAAAAAAAAAATGTGTCCTCTTACCCCCCCCCCCCCCCCCCCGCTTATTCAGCGGCTGGCTGCTGGCTGAGTCGTTGCGAAATTTTCGGACCGATTTATAAATGTTAAAACCCCCCCCTTGAAAAAATCCTGCGTACGCGCCTGCCTCCCATACATTAAAACTATCAAGCTATTGATAAAAGTCCAAGAGTGAGAGTGTAGGGGAAGGATACTTTACCTCAAATATCTTGTGAGGCACCTTGAATTTGCCACCTGCTGCCCCTCCTGTACACTTGATTGGTATGACTGTATGATCACTCCAGGTGAACTCTTCAGCTTCATGGGCAGCACCAGGTCCACCTGGTGAAAATGATGGTTGAGGGTTGATGATTATTAAATTTACCTGGCTGCTAAGAAAGCATGTATATAATAATAAATAATAATAATAATAATCTTTTATAGTCCACTCCAAATTTTATTAAGTTAAACCGAAAATGGAAATTCTTTTTGCCCAATTGACCGTGAGCCCGGCAGCCACTGAGCAGCGTCAGATCGACGTTGCTCTATCCCTTATTGTTGAACGCCAAACAAGGTAGCAGCAACTCCCGTCTTTTAACGTCTGTTGGTATGATGCGGCCGGGGTTCAAACACACGACCTTCCGGTTGTGAGGCGGACGCTCTACTGACTGACTGACTAAGCAACCAGGGGACTGACAGCTTTCAGACCTCTCTGAGGGACTTGGTAATGAGGATTAATGCCTTAGCAAAGGCCACAAGCACATTGAATTGGTTTCAGACCCTGGACTTCTCGATTACGAGACCACTGGGCCATCGCATCTCCTTGTAAAAATAATGGAAGTTGTTGAAGTTGATGAGAGGACAGTAAAGCTATTAAAAAAATGACCATGGCGGTGCAAGAAATAGGGAAAACCCCTCAACCATGACCAGGGAGGTGCTTCACAAAGATCCTAAGTTGAACTTAAAAATTATGGAGAGCCATTTTTATAAATTCCACATCAAGAACATGAAATCTCCTTGATAATAGAAAACATAAATGATTTGAATCAACATTTAATGCCTTTTAAAATAAGTTTTACAAAATATTTCATTAGATGCTAAAGGCTTTCTATAATTGTTAAGTCCAACTTGTAAGATCTTTGTGAAACACCCCCCTGCTCTATTGAATTACCTTCTACAATGATACAGATATCAAAGACCTTGGATACGATGGATTCTCTCTGCCTGACGCTCTCCCCACAGTGAAGGGTCTTACCAAACGGCGGTCCCTGGAAAGACTTGTCGGGTCTCTGGTTGGCTTGGACAGTGCAGTCCTGATCATAAGATCAAAAGAAAACAAAATGGAAATCAAATTCATCATAAATTATTGGGTTTTCTTTTAGAAAGAAAATGATAATAAATGTGCATAAGATGGCCCCTATATACAATCATGTGATTTGTGTGTTGTGATACTGCACACAAATTTGTGACATACACTATGCTCTGGCGCATCATTTTCTTTTGCTAAATGTTTTTGTAATGGCAGTTTACCCCGGCATCTCTGAATAATGCTCATGAGATAGATAATGATTAAAAGTATGCATTAAATCTTCTCTTTTTTTCAATAATAAAAAACACAAATATATTGTAGCATCAGTTATCTCAACATTTTTGAAGCACTGGGTCATTTTTCAGGTGATGTTTGTTACTGCCAGTAACAGTTTAGACTTAAAATGTCATTTCTAATGAGAGGAAGAGAGAGACAGGGAGAGAGGGAGGGAGGGAGGGAGAGAGGGAGAGAGGGAGGGAGGGAGGGAGGGCGAGAGGGAGAGAGAGAGAGAGAGAGAGAGAGAGGGACGGAGGGAGAGAGCGGGAGAGAGAGAGCCCTGCATTCATGTGTTATTCAAACTTGAAACAGCAACTTGCAGTTAATTTTTTTAGTTCAATTGCAGTTCAAGTGTAGTTCAAGCAACATATTGGTCACCACTATTAAATATTACAAAATAGACTGCACTTCTTTTTGACCAGTGAGATGCAATAGACTTTCTTGGCAATCTCACCCTTTCATCTTTCTTGGGGAGGATGTGCCACACCCTGTGCTCCATCCTCAGTTTCTTCCTCTCGTCGTAGAAGCTCTTGGAGACGTCATGACCCACGCCAAAGAACCCTCCAGTGATGAGGGTGACGGTGGGGAGCTTAGCAAGGGCTACTCCAATGGCTCTGTATTAAAGAATTATTATTATTATTATTTCTGCTTTTTAATAGGTTCCTTACATTCTGAGAAACATTGAGGATCGTTAAGACGTGCTCATTTATACTACATGTATTGTATTTTTTAAGTATTTTTTATATGTATGTCTATATTTTTGTAAAATGTGAAACAATAAAAACTTGAAACTTGAAACTTGAAACTTTATTGCAACCAAAACTTGAGGTTGGATTTCAAATACAAATGAAATTACAAATACCCGGTAGATAGAAAACGATGGTAGAAATAATTTACACAAAGTTTAAGAAACTGTAGAGTCTCATACATAGATATATGAATATACTACCATTGACTTATTCCATAATATCAAATTAATTAATGTAAGCTCCTGAGTACATTATTTCATAATGATTGTAAGTAATTAACAGTAATTTTGGTAGGTATGTCTATTATACTGTTTTCAAACTGGCTTCTATTGGAGTCACACCGATGAAAATACTGATTGAATTTTCCTTATGTAAACAAAGGTGAAACCGCAGTTTTCCCCCTATCGCTTTCTAACTGCCGATGAAATTATCTTGCTGTGGCGAGCCAATGCCGGAAGTGAAGAATTATTGCATAATTATTAAGCCCGCGCTCTATCTAGCTAGCATGTTCAACAAACAAAGCTGGTTACGAAAAATCGCGTGTACACTGCGACCTTTGACCATTTTAATCGCTGTTTTAATCGCCTTTTTCTCCCGAACGCTTTCATACATACTTTGAATGATTAATCATCACATTATTATAATCATTTAATGCCAATTATAAACTACAACAACTTTCAGCTCTTCCAAATGAAAACAAATAATTATAAAGACTGTCCTATCACAACTGCTGGAAACTTGATTTCAAGAGCACTAAAATGCTCATTAAACCGCTCAAGTATTCACGTGCCTCTTAGCAGCAATGGAACCCTTTGAGGATGAAACTTACTTGCATATTGCTTGACTCTTGTCATAGTAGTACTTGGTGCCCCCAGCGATGTACACACAGCCTGTATCAGGTAGGTTCTTGCATACAAACTCAACCTGGGTACAAACAGTGGTACAAAAAAATGATCGTCAGTGCTGAAAAATGCAACTTCAATTACTTTAAAGCCTGTCTGCACTAATTTAGCCAGGAGGGATTAGACCACCCTGCTAATCACTGACAGGTGGTCTCATCAACTCAGCTCTCAATTAACATAAGAAAAAGAGGATCATGGGGGACCAACGGGCACCGCTGAGGCATTGTTTTCTATATAGAGGGAGCAAGTAGCTACAAGTAGTGCAGTGGGGCTTTAATATGAAACATTTGTCCGAGTGAACCTGCAAATTAGTCATAAGTATTAAAGACTTGTGGTGTTTTCTTGACGATTCAGACAATTCAAATGTGTTAACAATACCAAATGTATTGCATGGACTTCTATTCACAAATATTGTACATCAAAAGTATTAACAAATGTTATGTGCTGGCATACATTTTCAGTCACCTAGTCAATCAAATGTGTCCTAAACAATTAAATAGAAAAAGATATATATATATATATATATACTTAGCGAAATTTGGCCTGCATGTAATATTCTACAAAATAATATAACAACTTTATCATTTTATTGCCCTTTTTGTCTTTGTGCAACTATCAGATAAACATTTAAAAACAATAAAATGAAATCAAGGTAACAAATTCTTCTCACACAGCTAATGATAATTATCGGGTTTTAAACTTTCCAGTATCTTTTGTCAAACACTCTATCACATGTTTTTGCACAATTCAGCCACTTTCATATTCACCCCAGAATGTTAAATAATATTTTGAGTGATAAAAGAAGGCTATACTGGGAACTTACTGCAACTGAGACTTGTTTCTCTTTGGCGATGTCTTCTGCATCTATGAGAGTAGCCGGGTCGCATGCCTCAGCTAGGCGGGCTAGTAAGTGGTCCTTGTAGTCAGCTCGCCTTACATTCTGAAGATTTACAAAATAAAAATGCCAAGAAAAGATCAAATCTGTGAGCTTTCACAACTCTTGTACGCCCATGTGGAGATATAAATACATTTACTAGGGCTTTTTATATTGTTGTCACTTTATTTTTAAAACATTTGTCAAATATCTTTCATTTCCGATTAGAAACCTTTTCTTTGCCTATGATATTTTATGATTTGCACGTTTTTTATGTATACTATAAAAAAATCCTTTACAAATTTTCATATGCATAAAGAACTAACTTCATAATATGCCCTCTGTAAAAAGTTTCAATTTTTAGTAATTATGAATATATAATTATCAAAAAATGTATTATGATAAAGTAGGTATGAGTAACAAAGTTGAAATTATAATTTCTATTAAAGTGACTCTGTGACATTGCCTCAGATTCTGAAACAAAATCCTGGATATAACTCATACTGCTATCATAATTATAAACCTTAAGGTCAGTCAGGAATCCCATGACTTTTACAAGCCGATCGCCTGTCTGATTATCAAGATATTTATAATTGGAAATCAAAATTTTATTTTTTCGTTTTCCCAAAGGTTTATAACACTACAGTCTATTGGGGAAAAATGAGTATGTTAAAACCGGTCTCTCAAAGATCTTTACTTTTTTGAGGCACTTCATGATCATTTTGAAGCACAATTTTTTTAGGACTTCAATATTACACCATATCACAGACACTGATAACACGTAGTGCGATGCATCTCAGATTTAACATTGTTAAACGATGCCTTTAATAACTAACTTCATATATGCCCTCTGCAAAATGTTTCAGTTTTGAGTAACTATGAATAAATATAGTTATCAAAAAATAAATTATGACATTAGTAGGAACGAGTAATAATTTTGAAATTATAATTTCTGTTAATTATCCAAAGAATTACATGTATTCAAACGACCGACCCACAGCAGAGTGACTTACCTCAAATGTACTTGTACCGATAAGCATAGACATCCAGCCAGGCATCTCAAAGTCTTCATATGCTAGAGAGACTACCCTCTTCCTCTGCTCGCAATAGAATACCTGTTCAAAAAAAGAAAGACACTCGGTCATTCAATCAATGTACATTCAAATAACATTTTTTTTTAAAGGTGACCTTGTGATACCGAAATTATAAATGAGACATGGTCGCAAAGGAGTTCTTGGAGGGAAGTTCTAAATTAGTATTATCTTTTAAATGCCGTTGGAATTTAATCTTTTCATTTTTTGGCCTGCTAACGGGACTAGTACCTTTAAGCAGGAACTTTTGTAACCTAGCAGTTTGCGGCTTGTACTAACCTCTCAATATTATCACATACCTGTTGAATATATTGTACATATCAGCCAAAATAGTGAACAGGGGGGTGTTTCACAAAGATCCTAAGTTGAACTTATCTCTAAGTTGGACTTAACAATTATGGAAAGCCGTCAGCATCTTTAAAAATATTTAGTAAAAGTTATTTTAAAAGGCATAAAATGTCGATTCAAATCATTCATATTTTCTATCGTCAAGGAGATTTCATGTAACTGATGTGGAATTTATGAAAAGTCCAAAATACTTGACTTTTTGCTTTTGAATATATTTTATTTTAAGGCTACGAATGACTCTTCATAACTTTTAAGTCCAACTTAGAGTAAAGTTCGACTTAGGATCTTTGTGAAACACCTCCCAGATGAAGCACAGATGAGAGTGAGTCTTACCTGTCCCTTGCACGTCGCTGATTCAGCGAATGCCTTGGAGAGGACAAAGAGAACCACAGAAGCCTCATTGACCTTCTCCTGGAAGAGGGTCGCCGGGTTGCTGGCAAAGACACCGTCCATAGCATCTTCATTGCCCTCTAGGATCAGCGTTCCATCTGATTGTACTAATCAGAAGGATAAAAATGAGTACTTTCTTAAAGGAGCTACACAAAGAAAGAAAAATTCACTACAACTGATAATTAGAACAAATTACATATGGATGGAAAGATTTTCTCTTGAAAAACACGAATAATTTGCTGAGAAATCATATAGATATCATGGAAAGGCGTAAAATGCAATTTTTTAAGACCGTTCTTAGACCCCCGAACGCCCCTGAACGTAAGCCAAACACACGAGCGTAGCGAGCTCTGAATAGTGACGTCACACACTGGACAAACAGCTCAGTACCGGCCGCCTACTGGAGTCGCGCGTGTATTAGTCTGCAGCTAGCCAGCCGTGTCCCATGTGTGACGTCACAAATATTGACGCTCTACAAAGGACTGCTGAAGGCAGAAAATCTGGATCTCGAAACTAACACTTTTGAGAGTTGATTACTGCAGGCCCCAAACATATTTTGAAGAGGAGAGTTGTTGTATTTGATCAGTAAGGTTTCCCCTTCGCAATGATATGAGTTTTGCATCAATTCAAAACACTTTTGATTTTTCGTGTGTCTACCGGTACTTTACAGGTGACTTAAGTTAAACAGGAACTATACAAATTGAAGCTACAGTCGGATTCAAAATCAGTCTGATCACTCTGAGCTATTCAATGGAATTCTTGAATTTTCAGATTTAAGGTAATGAAGAAATACTAGTAGCTTTCAAGATTAAGTGATTAGCAAATCTATGATCAGATAAAAATCAGTCCAATTACTCTGTAAAATGTTAAGACATTGCCTACAAATATTTAAGTATTTAATGTACTTATACCATTTGGTAAATGAGTAATAATAATAATACATAACATTTATTAGGCGCTTAATACTGATGTTTCTAAGCGCACAGTGTTCTGATTAAGAGAAGACTATAACCCGTAGAATTAAATTAGAAGAAAAAGCAAAAATACAAAAGTAACATAGATAAGGTAAGAAAAACAGTGGCAATCAACTAAATAAAGACAAATATGGTGCGCACCTCCATTGACCGACGCACAACTGCAATTTACAATTTGAAAAGATAGGTTTTGAGTAGAGATTTGAATTGAGATACAGAGGGGGCGCAGTGAATAAAGGCGGGCAGTTTGTTCCAGAGAGCGGGGGCAATAACTGAAAAGGCGCGGTCACCATACCGGGTGTTAGTGCGGGGTCCAGGTGTTAACAGTAATGTGGAAGATGAACGAAGTGTTCGTGACGACGTACGGGAACGTAAGGATATGAGATCGGAAAGGTAAGAGGGGGCTAAGCCATTGATAGCTTTGTAGCACAGGAGAAGAATTTTGAAGGATATGTTGTTGTTGAAATGATATGATGTTAGCCTGCCCTTCAGGGTGGGAGCTGGAAGTTAAAGTCAGTTATATATTACCTGAAAAATGTATTCTGTTCTTTAAAAATTAGAGAGAAAATACAGATCTCATGAAAAGATTTAAAGAACCCAAAATCGGTTACAATCATCATCGTCACTATCATCATCATCATCATCACTATCATCATCATCACCACCATCATCATCATCATCATCACTTTCATCATCTCACCTGACTCTGTATCTGTTCCATTCATCCTGGAGAGCTCTGTAGTAATCCAGACATCATATCCCTTACTTTCAAACAGCTTCTTCAGCTCAGCACCCTTTTGAAATAAAGTAAAATGAAGAAGAAAATAAAAAGGAAAGAAAAAAGATTGAATTAACACTGATTAGAAATTCCTAAATATCTCCTTGGGCCAAGCCAAGACACCTCCAATGCCGATCACGCCACAAATTCCTACATATAGGCCTGCAAGGCTAGGTCCTTGTCTGATTTTTTAATCTGAATATTATAGGATATCGAACTTTTTTCTGTGGAGGCCTTTCTTTTACTTCACATGACATGAATAGAGCAAGTGTGAACTACTCTTCAACATGGAACTGAGCTAAATCAAAAGCCCAAGACAAGAACCCAGTGGAAGAAACCTGCAGATCATTGTTCTGCCCAGGGACCAGTTTCACAAAGCCTTTTTTCAATGATAAATGACTAAAATCAGTGACATATCTGCTGATAACCAATCAGAAGCAAGGATTTCAGTAGCTTATAACAAAAATTGTAATTTGTCACTGATGACAAGATTTGTGAAACGCCCCCCTGACAGAACAATGATCCAAGGGTTATTAAAGGTAAGGTACTATTACTATTTATTTCTTGATGATTAATTCTGTTATTTTTGTAAACTGATCTTTAAACTTTTAACAGTGAAAAAACAAATTTCCTAAACGAATAATAAATGCTTAATTTCATTTTCATTTCATTTCTATATTTTGGAATTCTGATATTGGACAGAAAATGAAAGATATGAGAAAGAAGACAAACTTACAAATTCCTCCTGCTTTGGATGTGTACTGATGACAAGTAGGCTGTCTCCATCTTCTCTTCCTTCGTTCAGGATATCTCCTACACTCAATGTCTTTCCTCTTGCCTGTTTGGATGAAGAAAGAAAGAAAAACAAACTATCAACTTTCAGCCATTTTTTTTAAAAACCCCACTGCACTACTTATAGCTGATTGCGCCTTCTATATACATGTAGCAAACAATGCCTAATCAGTGACCATTGGTCCCCATGATCCTCTTTTTCTTATGTAAATTGAGAGCTGATTTGATGAGATAACCACCTGTCAGTGACCTTGTAGGGAGGTCTAATCCCTCCGTGCCAAACTAGTGCAGTGCGGCTTTAAACTGCCTTTTTTTATTATTATTTTTTTTTTTACTACTAGGATGTAACTAAAAACCAAGCAAAAGGGTTGTTTTTCAGTGACCGCAAGTCCAATTGCTGGCATTTAAAGAAAATTAAGGAATAGGTATGAAACAATGAGCCAAGATAATAAGGCTTTTGGGCACGTACTTTTCATTCATGTCGGCACCAAATCCTGTACTACTATATGTTTGTATCAAGAATAGTATTAAGTTTATTCTTCTTGTCTCAGAAAAAAAGTATCTGTCTACAGTCTCTTCTAATGATACAGTAGATATTTGTTGGTCTTTTAAAAAATGAAGAAAAAAAGAAAACCGGCTCTATAACTTTTAATTCAGAGAGATATTCTTAGCATTAGATTGAAGGATTGTATTATTGAGTATTATCTATTCTTGCAGTCCAAAGAATGAATTGCAATGGTTACAACAGTTTACAATGTATATACATGATAAAAGCAATTATACAATAATATATTAAACAGTCTAGGCAATCAACATTGAAATTCAAATAAAAGTGATCAAATGACAATAATAATGGCAACTATCATTAATTTCAGTTAGTAGTTTAAATGGGCCATAATTAATAGAACTTACCAGAGGGGCTACCCCGTTGGTGACGTTGTTTATCCTCTTGGATTGACATCGTTTACCGATATCCTTGGCTACGCAAACCACATCTTTCTTCTCCCACTCATAGCACTTCTTAAAAGAACTATCCATGGACAACTCTTTGGCTGCAATGCAGGGTTAAAACAGGAGGGGAGGGAACAGGGTGAAACGATTTGCAATAGGTTGTTTCGTAATGTACCGGTAATCAAATTTAATGCACAAATCTTCCCTTAAGTGCCTCCGTATGAATAATTTTATTCACCCATTACGAGCGATTGTATTTCAATAGTCAAAAAGCGAAAATCAAAATCTGAATATTGTGCACATGTTATTGAGTGCTTTTCATTTTTCTAAGATATTTAGCTTTTATCTATTTCTTTCAAAGTTGTTCTTAAACTACCATGTATAATTCTGCTGCAATAATTTATTTGTAAGTCAATTTCAATTTACATTGTAATGTGAAATCACAAAAATTATAAGAATTTGTGTATGCCCATAGACTTTATACATCACTTTAATATATGAAATGCTTTAATGATATATTTTTAATGTAATAATTCCATTCAATATAATTTGACCAATGTCCTAATCTGTCCCCTAACAAACAAACTTGCACGTATACTTTTTTAAGTTTATGGATCTCATTTTGACAATTGCAATATAATAATTTCCTCTCTGTTTTAGATTATGATTACTTGCAATAATTGGTTCAACATTTCAAGTTACTTTTACAGTTATTCTTCCATCTACTATTATTTAGCAAAATATGTATATAGCTTGAGGTATGAACAATTATGATAACTTTATTTTTTATCATTTTAATTGTAAATGTATATGATCATTCCTGTTTTTATGCACATTTTATGTAAACATTGCATTATTGGTTCTTGGACTACTGCATTGTACATTGTATATTTTGATATTAATAAACCAAAATTGAATTGAACACTTACATGGTGAATGCGGTGTAGCCGGTTGACCAGGTTTAGGTTTCCTCCAGTTGATGAACTGTGTTGTAGCGAATTGAATGGCTAGACATCTAGGAGGCCAGGTCTCCAAGAAGCTCACAGGCAGGATGTACTTGCCTAATACATCAGCTAACTTCACCTGAAATAGAGTATCAAATATTAGAAGATGATGAAGCGGATCCTAATCAAATGATTGGTTGAGAGCGTACACGTGACCAGGCATTTATTTTGCCTAACACGTAATTTTACTAATGACCGATCATTAGTAAATACTAATGACCGGTCATTAGTAAATTCATGTTATAAAACAAAATTTTATAAAAAAATAAAACATCATCTTATAAAACAAATAATACACATTATTTTGTTCGGGCATTAGCACAATTAGAGAATTCAGTAGTCAACGGGTTCAGCGTATACTGCCAGTTCATTGAACACAAGAACTAGACCACACACACATACAATGTTTATAGAGGTTGAAACTATGGTTAGAGATAAACCTTATATTTCTGTAGAAAAGAAATCAATTTAAATCTCACCTCTCTGTTGGTCCACTGTGTCTCCCCATACCTCGGAGTGACAAGGGGCACAAAGACAGCACAGTTACTCACGGCAAAGTTCAAACTATCCTGCCAGTCTGTTCCACAGAAGATTTCATGTACATCCTTTATTAATAAAATAAACAAAGCAACAAAATGTGAGCCATATTGAAAGGTACCAGTTTACCTCTGAAACTACATTTAGGAAAATCAGTCCAAATGGTTGCGGGAAAAAAAAATTATATGAAGAGAGATGTGATGATTGTATGAAAGCCATTTGAAATTGCAAACTGATTTATTAATTGTAATCATCTTCATTCGGGGTAACACTTTGATGAATCTTTTTGGAAATCAAGAATTTTCCCTGAACTAAACCTTGTTCAATTATGTAGGGTTTTTTCTCATTCTATGACAGCATAATGAAAATTTCAACTAATTTCATGACAAGTTCAAAATATATTTACCAGTAGTGCTTTTTGGTACATACTCTTCTTAGATGTTGGGTTTTATCATCACATCCAATGAAAATTAAATCTCTTATATTATCTATACGTAAGGAACTGAATGTCAAATTGATCTTATCAAATTTGATTTTGATATAGATTTCAGACCTTGAACCTCCTCAATGAACCATACGCAGAGAAAGCAGAGTTGTACTTTGGAGGCATTCATTGATTTTTACAAAATTATCATTTTCATTATTGATTATTCAGTAGGGTTCTGTGCTCGTGAGGGGGAAATGCAGACTTAATTGATCACGATAACCCTCAGGCCACTCCTACTTGAATACAAAATGCAGTAACTGGTTGTGATGCATGCAGGTGTACTATTTTGCCGGGTTTACAAACTTTGATGATGCTAGCAGCTTATTGACAGTTCTCATGATGAATAGGGCATGCCACTGCTACACATGGGAGATTACATTTAACATCCTATCCAAGAGACAGAGTGGTTTCATAATATTCTTTCTTTGCCTGAAACTTTGGGATATGGTTGGCATGTTTCAATCACCTGAACATATTTGGATCTTACCCAAGATTTTTGGTTAAAATGGCAAAATAAAGCTATGTAGGCTAAGCCAACCTGCTTGCTTTGAACAAGATCTAAGGTTTAGTGCAGATACAAAGAGATTCACAAGGGGGTTACCCTAAAGCATATTAATTCAATGAGCAGAAGATCTGATGAAACCTCACCCTGCTGTTAATCCTGAAGGGATATCCAACAAAACGTAGGACTAAAGAGAACTCAACTCACCAGGTACACACTGAACTTTTGCATCTCCAGCTCTGTCTTGAGGTCCAGAGCATACTGGGTTGCCTCTGTCCTGACGTAGCTGATCAAGACCAAATGGTCAGTGATGACCCTTACCCTAACCCTCACAAAACACAGGACATAGGACTACAGAGAACTCAACTCACCAAGTACACACTGAACTTTTGCATCTCCAGCTCTGTCTTGAGATCCAACGCATACTGGGTTGCCTCCGCCCTGACATAACTCATCAAGATCAAATGGTCAGTGATGACCCTTACCCTAACCCTCACAAAACACAGGACATAGGACTACAGAGAACTCAACTCACCAGGTACACACTGAACTTTTGCATCTCCAGCTCTGTCTTGAGATCCAACGCATACTGGGTTGCCTCCGCCCTGACGTAGCTGATAAGGATCTGCTTGGCACTGATCGGTGCCTTGCTGGTGAAGGGGGAGTCGGGGTTGGTGGTGAGGGGACTCCGCGGCCGCATCTTGTGGGGGGAGTAATTGAAGGAGTCGTCCAGGGAAGTCAGGTTGTTCGGTGATTTGCTTCTGTTGAAGCAGATTTTAAAAAATGATTGGAGTTGCAAATATTTTAATTATAGCAGGGTTTCTAATGTAACCTTTAGTTATTGAGGGTTATTTCAAACTAATTTACCGGTACATATAATATTCAAATTTAAATCATTTACAATTTTTTAAAAGGCTTTTGATTCATGTTAAGAAATAGCAAAATACTAATAGTTCTAAGCTACTGTGAAGTTTTTTCCTCCTCAAGTGGAATATCAAAACCGAAGAGTTTAAGGTGAACACTTAAACATTTATTTACACCCATAACTTGATTATTAGAATATTGGCAAATTTTTCTTGTATAGATATATGTAGAACAATGAGACATCTGACGGTTTCACCCAATATTCCTTTTTGATAGCACTACTAATTAGTTTATTTCATTTTCATGTAAAAGGGGTCATTTCTAATGAACGATTATAGATAGGGTTTAAAGCCTACCTGCACTAGTTTGGCCAGGAGGGATTAGACCTCCCTGCATGGTCACTGACAGGTGGTTATACAGCTATCAATTAACATAAGAAAAAGGGGATCATGGGGGACCAACAGGTACTACTTAGGCGTTGTTTGCTATATAGAGGGCGCAAGTAGCTACAATTAGTGCAGTCTCGCTTTGAATAGATACATGGATGAATATGATCCTCACACTTTCTGCATCTTTGACGGCGGTGTGTTCATCAGGCCAAACTCAGCCATGGTGGATGTAAAGCTGCCGTGGGATTCCATGAGGCCCGATTGACCTCTGAACTCTGAACTGTGAACTCTGACCTTGACCGAGGACTGAACCAGGATGTCCAGGATGGTCAAGGTGGATTCTTGCTGCCTGTTGACCGGCCAGCCATTGCGGTCAAGGAAGACCCAGTCATCGTGCAACAACTCCCGCATGCTACCCAACTGTACCGCAGAGATAAAGAGAGAGGAAGAGCAAGAGACGGACAGATGATCATTAAAGAAAGAGACAGATTGACAGATGAACAGAGACATACAGACAAGTAAAGAGGTAAACAGAGAAAAAGAGAAAAGGAGACAGAGACAGACAGAGAGATGGACAATGGACATGGAGAAATAGAGAAGAGGTGGAGAGAAAGGGAGACAGGCAGACATAGACAGTGAGAAGTGGAGGGACAGACAGAGAGTGAGAGGGATAGATATATAAAGAGAGAGAGAGAGAGAGAGAGAGAGAGAGAGAGAGACAAAAAGACAAAGATAGAGAAAGGCGAAGGAGAGAGACACAGATAGACACAGGGAGAGATGGAATGAGGGAGAAAGAGAGATATTAGCAACAGTTTGAATCCAGTCACATCTAAAAAGTTTCATTAAAAAAATATAGAGATAATATTCATTCAGGGAATGGCTTGCCATATGTTTATCACATAATAAAAGATGAACATCACCAAAGAATTAAAGTATGAGAAAGAAGAAATTGAAAATCACAGCAAACAGACAGGTAGAGATCGAAAGGGAAACAGATATGTATTACGGGTATATACAGTAATGCATATGAGCGAGTGTCAAAAAGGAAGAACAAAACCAAGGGTCAAAAGGAAGTACTTACACTGAAGCACAAGGTCATATCCAAATTAAATACACAACAAAGAAACTTGAATACACATATGCACCTACATGTAAATGTACTTCATTTGTATGATATTGTCCCTCCACTTTAAATTACATGTACCCTTTTCCCAAGAAAATTAATGATGATCAGATATGATGTGTATATGGCATATGTTTGCTATTAAAATTCTGATATGCTTGTTTAAACTACAACATACCCTGGCACTACACTATGAATAAGTTTGGAATAAGTTTCAGATTTTGTGATATACAATTATACATGTATCAAAACAGAAAAGAAAAGAAGATCTGTGGTAAAAAAGGGACATATGAATAGTTGACGACACTACCATCAATAGACCAGTTCACATTTGACCACACAAATATTCCTGATCTTTTAATAATAGCATGTGGTGACATTCCACTTTGTGTATTTTAGAATAATGCCAAATTAGTCAGGTGTGTGCTTCATGAATATGTTTTGTTTACCCTCTCCAGAATGTTATTTCCACCTGTGTATCGGAGAATGTTCCATCAATGAACAAATGAATAATGATAACATAATTTTCATGAGCACATATCCAGCAGCCATCTCAATAGGTTTTACAACTTTGGTACAAATAACCATCATCTGCCCATGCGCAGATTGTTTCCACGAATTGGCCTTTACATACTGGGGTAAATAATATCAAATCACAAGCTAACTTGGAGAGTTCTATACATTGCATACTGAATTACAATTCACAACATGTATGCAAATACATGGTAACAAATTAATTGAACATAATATAATCACTGCACAGCAAAGACTGGAACCAGTTTTTCCAAATGAAATTGTTTCCAAGCCAAGGACAATGAAGGAGAACCATAGCCAGCATATCCAAAGATTTTGAAAGAAGAAAATGGAAATTTGGTTTCATTATGGGAAACGGGAAAAATATAAGCCACAATTCTTGGAATTCAATCTGTATATTATTTCAGGTGGTCTGATCGTGTTCCTAAAGGCTATGATAGAATTCTAGACGGTCTATTATTTATGCGTCAAATTATTGTTTATATTGGACTAGGGGTAACAAAAGGTGGAGGAGGGAAGACTGGGGGCAGAAGTAGGGGTATACAGTATAGTTGCTGGGGAGGGAGGAGAGGGATATGGGAGGGGGCTACACACTATTAATTGATTTTTACTGTTAGTACATTTCAGTGTTAGTTAATTTCATTGTTTCCCTGTTAGAATGATGGGTTAGGATGATATCTTTTGCTAATGAAAGTTCCAAATCCTGATGCAAGGATGCTTTTGATTATACACAAACCCCATTTGTCATTAATATGTGTGTAGATTCTATTAATAATGAGATGATTAGTAAAACTAAGATATTTTGTATGACATTTTAACACACCCATGCAAACTAATTTTCATGTATTCTAAATAATGATTCTTATAACCATAGATTAATGATGAGTGAATTTGTTATGATGAACACCGGATTTGTTTTGTATGATTATTTCAACTTACAGAGCAAGGGGAACTTTCTGGGAGGGTGGGGTCAATCTTGTTTGAATCTTGGCTCGGCTGGGAGCTGGACGGACCAGTCAACACAATGGCAACATCTTTAGACTGATAGAAAAAGAATGCACAGCATATATACACCAATAAAAAACAAAGGATACGATTGAGCGAAAAAGAAATAATTAACTCAAAAACTTTATGATGAACTAATAAAGGGCTGAAATCTGTCACCAGCAAAACAAAAAAATTCATACAATTTGGAATCAAGGGTGACAAAATTTAAATAATTAAAGGATATTTCTTAATAATCACATTTTAGCGATGCAAAACTTTATGATGAACTTATAATGAAAGAGCTGAAAATCAAGTCTGTCACCAGCAAAACAAAAATGTTCATATAATTTGGAATCAAGGGTGACAAAATTTAAATGATTAAAGGATATTTCTTAATAAACACATTTTAGCCATGCAAGAATGGGAAATGTAAAAGCACATCAAACTCTACTGAGAAAACAAGATGAACATACGACAATGACAGGCAAACAACAACATATTTCAGTCTAGATGTTCATCTGGGGATACTTTTTGTCTTTAAAATAGTTTCTCTTTTCTTTGTATCTCTGTGGCCATAGAATTTAAGATATTGGCCAATCACTTAGGATTTGAAATCCCCTAATGAACCGCCTGGGTTAAAGGAAAATAAGTGTAGTTTCAACTCTCCCTTTCATTTAATAGTATCAACAATGGTTAGAGTTGGAGCATTTGCTTGAACACACACTCTTAAACAAATATCCTACAGTAAAAAGATTATTTTAAAAAAAAAAAAAAATGGGGTGATATTTTTAACTGAGAGGAAATTTTTGCAATATGTGAACAGATCAGTATCAGAATACATCCACGTGACCTCGTAAAATGAGAATTGTTGAGCAGAGTTTGATGGACCCATGAAATTATGAAGTCTGTCATGCAAAATAGATCTTTTAATGAGTTTGGAAAAGACAGGAAGGAAGAGTTTTGCTGCTTGCCAACAGCTCTGTTTGGCTGTGGATTCCTTTGCACGGTATGGATATCAGATCAAATTACAAACAGCTACATGTACATCACACGTTTTTTTCTATTTCTGAAGGCTAAAAAGCTTGTATTGGGAAGTTTAAAGGGAACCAATTGCCTTACAAAAAATCATTCGTAAATAGCTAACCTGTATAACATTAACTTTAATAAAAAACTTCACTTGGCATTCTGTTGGTTTTTGGTTAATAGGGATTAAAGGATAACATAAAAAAATGTGCAAGGAACCAAAATTGGACTAGGTCGGACTTGCGGGCCCTATCTATGCGAGCATGCGTAGCGGATCAACTAGCTTTTCTCGCAAATCGCTTTTATGTTTAGTTTGAATATAGGCTGTAGTTTTCTTCAACTAACAGACACGCTACACAAAATAATTTGCAAGAGCTATCATCTTACTTTGACCACACTAACTTCATATTCTTAACTTATCTTAACTTAAGAAATAACTTATCAACAGGAAAATAACAGGAAAGTACTAGTTCCTTCACAAACAAAACTTTTTATTGAGATTATTAACGCATCTTCCAAGTCACTTCAAGCTTTCAAATAAATGAAAATGAACATGAATTTAGAAAACCTAGAAGCTAGTCAAATTTACATATTCAACTGCACTTTATATTGTGATGTGGTACTAAATATGGAAAACAATGAAGCCAAATCAAAATTAGCATTCTCATAAGATATTCATGCAAATGGAGATGGTCCAATTGAACTTTAAAACTATTTGAAAACTATATTAGATTCAATTCTACAGAAATGTGAATTTTTATAGCCTTTCCACACATCCATGTACGTGATTGAACTCAATACACATTTTAACAGACTACCAAACAAACACAATTTTTTACAAAATAAAAAGAAAGAAATACACACAGCCTTAAACAAAACATCTAGAGGGTGATTCTGTGCAATTTCCCTACACAACATATGACATTTATCCATTTATTTCATTAGCAAATTTAAAATCTCTTGATATGACCATTGCCTATAATGGTTGTTTCTGTATTATACTAATCCTATTACTTAATTATCAAATCAAAATAATTTCTCATTTTTTGATGAAATAAATGGACAACAAACAAATATCACATGGGATCCATTGCACAGAGTCACCCTAGAATACACTGCACATCCAACATTTTTACTAAAACGTTTGCAAACTTAAGAATCTTGACAGAAACATTTTCAACACGACTCACCTGGGCAAGAACAGCTTGGCGTAGCTTGTTGATGGTGAGTTGCAACGACGACATAAAGACAAACCCTAAAGCCGTACCAGTCTCGCAGACCACACCGACACGTGGCTCTCCTGTTCACAAGAATTAGTTTCAAGAAGTAGTGCAAAAATGATAATGTGAATGATCTGTCAAAATCTATAATTTTTCTAAACCAAGACTAGAGAAAAGAAATGTTAAGAATATTTGAAACGGTGGAGAGTAATTATGTTCTGGATAATTACAAAATATCACAAGGTTCCCTTGCAATTTTTTGTTGTTGAAAATATCAAAATATGCCATTGCAATTTGTTTTAAATATCAATATATATATATATATATATATATATATATATATATATGCAAGACCCTGGTTAAAAAAAAAATTTTGGTACTAATATCAAATTTTGATAGGCTAATAATATTTCTTGAATTTTCTTGTGTAATTGTAATAGAATGGAAAATGCAAAATAATTTTGTTTGTTTGATACAATCATTACAATAAGAAAAGCTTCAGCCAACTATAACTACAAATAATGGTACAAATACTGGTACACTCTATTTATACTTCTCTTGAGGTTTTGTAGGAGATCAAAACAGACCAAAGGTCCCATAAAATCAAGGATTACAGACTAGAGAAACATGATACAAGCGCACTTTAATACTGACCAAAATCGCGTTGTATTCTGATCAGCCCATCCTTGGTTACGAGATGACAGGCTTTGATTTGAGCCTCTTGTTTTGGTCTCACAGGCCAGCTGTAAAGAGAATAAAATAAAAACATAAATTCAATACTACAATTGTATTATGAATGGATATGAAAACTTGTCTTAACACACATTTATTCAAAATAGCTTTTGACGATTAACTTACTCTGTTCACATCAATGTATATTTCATATGTATTGTAATTTGTAAGTTTATTTGCATTTTTTGTTTTGTTTATATGTAATTGTTTATCTTTGTATTTTGTTTGTTAACGCGCTTAGAGACTTCGGTGGTAAGCGCTTTAAAACTGAAGCACCGTTTTTATTATTATATAATAATTAATTTGGAGTTAACGTAAATGCAAGAATAATAAAGATTAATTCACATACATGATTACGATGAGAAGGTTCTACATTATTTAATGTTCACTCTCCTGCACCTCACAACAAACAAATACTAAAAACAGCAAAAGTATTATCAAAATACAACTAAGCTATACCCATGCGCAACATTACATTATCAAGAATATGTATATTAAATGATAGAAATATGATTGACAGTAGTTAAGTTTCGTAACTACATTTAGCACATCATAAACTAGATACTCTCGACCAGGGCAATGCACTAGGCCCGTGTTAAAATACAATAATTATATCAGAAGGGAAGTCGTCAACAACTTCCTCACTTTTTAGTAGTTTTCTGATCAACAAGAGTGAAGGATGAGACCTAATACCTAATACATTGAACGGTAGGATCAGATTGTCTATTCCCAATCAAATTTTCCTAAACAGAAAGTATAAAAACTGTCGGGTACATGACATAGACCATTCAATACCATCCTATAGTGCAGGTGCTATTTAACTATAACTTTATTTCCCTTTTTTTTTTTAGAAGTGCAAATGAAAAGATTCTACATGTATGTAAACCCCAAAATATTGGGGTAGACAGTAATTATATTTACAGTTCCAAAACACAATGGTTGAGTAAACACAAGTACTTGTCCAAATGGACCTTGCCTTGTTGACAGTATAAAACCAACATCATTTTTACATATAGTGCATGTGCTTGTACATACTTTAGTATGTGATTTTATCTCATACAAAACAATACTGGTGTTTTCAAGAAGTAAACACAAGTTCCTATTTCCTCTTTGCTGAACTTACCGGTAACCTATTAATGAATGGGAGCCTATTTGTTTTTGAGGCATACAAATATTGAAACAGGAAATTTGGCTGTACTTCATAAATCTCATTGGCACAAATGGAACTAAAAGTAAAACACAATCATATATTTGCAAAATGTTACATTCTTGTAATCATGGTTGATGTTAATACATGTGCTTTCTTGCAGACACTCAGACCTGATAAGTAGTCCCCTAAGTCCTAAAAATACATGTGTTTTAAAGCCACACTGTCCTACTTGTAGCTACTTGCTCCCTCTATATAGAAAACTTCCCCAATCGGTGCCTGTTGGTCTCCCATGATCCTCTTTTTCTTATGTTAATTGAGAGCTGAGTTAAAGAGATAGCCACCTGTCAGTGACCCCGCTGGCTCGCTGGCAGGTCTAATCCCTTCTGGTTGAACTAGTACAGCCGGCCTTTAAATGAACAAGTATTTGCAAGTAACAATCTTTTTAAACAATACTATCAGATTGAGGTTACAAATTTCTTTTGTTTACAAGGAGCCTATTGCTTTTAAAAAACTAAAGGCATTGCTTCTTTGTATTTTATTACTTACTTGGAGAAAGAATAAAAAAATAATCGTTTTCAAACTTCAACTTCCTATTTAAACATTCAAATTACCCTTGTTTAGTGAGGAACCTGTAATTGACCGGCACCGTCTCTAGTTGATTACCTATGACCCCTCTCAGGTCATTGACCACCGTGTCCTCCGGGTTGACCAGGATGAAACCAAGGTTTGCATGATGATGCTGCTGGCCGTCTTGGTTACAGCAGCTCTCACTGGTCAGGCTTATACCGACCGGTGATAGATCTGAAAGAAATTCAACGGAAAAGAGAAGATTAGGACAGATGAAAAATCAATGGAAAGAGTTTTGGATGTAGTGGTATACCTGCTAACCATCTACAGTAAAAAAAATAAACAATAGCTATCTCTTAGAGGTAAATTTATGAATACAGTGCATTTTGTATACATTTACACAGCAGTTTGCAGAAAGAGATGTGAATCTGGGGATAATAACATACCGGTAAGGCCCATTTACACAGCTCTTACACTATTTTCGAAAAAAATCATTGATATTTTGGATTTCCATTTACAATACTGGAAAAACCCATAAAATAACCCTGGTTTTTGCTCATTCTGATTTTTAGGTAAGTAGTGCAGATCCACGATTTCCTGCTGCTCTGCATGCCATAGCATGGAAGCAAGAAGAGTGACATGACCAAAAACCTGAATCATTCACCGATATTTTGAGAGCAAGCATTTAAACTGCAAAAATCGGTTAACTTTCTGCCGGCGTTTAGAAAATAAACACTCCAGTTGTGGAATTTTTTAGTTCGTTATTTGTTGTGTTTTGCCAGTAGTTGCTTAGCAACTTGTTGATGCTTTTTTAAATCTCTTTCACTCTCTCTATCTCTCATCATCATTTTCTTGGGGGGGGGGGGGTGGTGTGTGTTTTCTATTTTGCTTGTAAAATAAAAGCCAACAGTTGGTGAGATTTAGAAGGAGGTCATTGTCATTGAGTGGAAGGCTAAAAATATGGTAAATCAACTCCAAAATGTGGGTTGTTCAGACATGGGGCGGTAAACCGCTGCAAAAAAACAACAACCTGGACATAGAAAAACATGTACATGAATGACAACTACGCGCAACAAAAAGGACTTGAACGTTTTCACTGAGCTCTGTGCTACAAGATACAGAATTGTGAAACGTCACCATAAAAAACTCCAGTTTTTCCACATCATATTTGACAGGCTTTAGTAAGAACAAATACAATGAAACATTAATGAAGTCTAAGTATTCCCTTTGATAAAATGTTGGGCTAGATATCAAAGACTACATCATGTATGCATGAAAAAAAATCTTGAATTTTTCCCCCTTCACTGTACAAAACTGTTTATATACCGGTACTACATGTACATGTATTGTAGCCATATATTTAAGGATGATTCTCTTATTCCAGACAAGGCAGACAGTATGAACCCAATGAATTGAAAATGAAACCAATTTCATTTCAATTTGTACCCCTGACTTCCAGATAAATATTGTCCATACATCACAATACAAAGTCAATAGCTGAAGTATGCTATACTTTCGGTTCAGGACAATGACTTCCTTCTAAATCTCAAGGCACACAGACAGACTGTTGGCCTATCCTTTACAAGACTTTACTTTTACAAGCCTATACAAATACAACACACCCACCCCCCCCCCCCCAGAACTAACAACAACAAAGGAATGAAATAAAGAAGAGAGAGAGAGAGAGATTTAAAATGCATCAAAGATATATGAATTACAAATACTTATCAATAAAAAAATCTTTAAAAATACATAATTTACACAATACCATCCTATTGAACATCCAATAAATAGGCTATTACTTCTTGTGTACTGTACTTTACCAAAGAACTACTAACCCTAATACCCCTCAGCAGACAAATAACTTCTTTATCATCATCATCGTCGTCATCACCACCACCAAAGCCACCATAATCACCAACACCATCATTACCATCATCATCAAATGTTGTCTTATACATGGAATAATCCAAATTTATTGCAGCAGTGTTGCAAACGTTTAGCCATGTGATGACTTTATTACCACCAGGGCCCCATTTCACAAAACTTGTCATCAGTGACAAATGACAGTTTTTTGTTAGAAGCTAGTGATATCCTTGCTTCTGATTGGTTGTCAGCAGATTTGTCACTGATTTTTGTCATATAGTTTCATTAAAAAAGGCTTTGTGAAACAGGTCCCAGCACAGTCTTTAGGTACAGGAAGGTCATCTTTCCAAGTAACTATTGGGGAAATTCAAATTCCCAAGAAAGAATGAGATAATGAACTGTTGTATAAATTGTTTACATGGATAGCAACTCACAAATTCTGCAAAATTCTATTTCACTGGAGGAATTACACATTTAGCCTTCATTACCCCCCCCCCCCCCACACTACCGTATGTACTTGTACATGCAGGCATACAATCCTTGCACAAATTTAGAATCAAACTCTGTTGCTGTGCCAACAGTGAAATAACTGTCCAAGAACTTACCCAAACTGAACGCTATACGCTTTCTCTTTCTACTCCCTGATGCCATTCTCTGGATGTAAGTGACGTATCTAAAACTTATGCTGATTAAAGAGATCAAGTGAGCAATGACCGAATACATCCACACCATATACTTTCCATGAGAATCGGTGAAATACATATAAAAGCTCCAATGGTTTCACTAGATTTCACCGAGTCCGGTCCCAAAGAAAAGAACTCTGCAAACACACTGCAAGATATATGGTCATGCATGCAGATCTCTCGACATGAGCAACAGGTATTTATTGAGTCAATATTCACTATATGCAAACAATACTGCTCCTTGTGAATGAATATGAACCATATTCCACCATAAATCCTTTGAAAAAAATGTCACACTTCCTGGCCCCACTGTACCAACATTGCTCTTGTCCGTTTTGTTGTCCTTTAAAGATTTCTGCTGGCATGCCCGAGCATGTCCTGCAGATCAAAATCTGAAATGTGATATCGATTATTAATAAATGAAGGCTTTCAAATTAAAAAAATGCCCTTGTCACTTGACTCCAAACGTTCAAAGTCTATGCTCAAATAAGCTGGTAGTTACAGACCCTATGTGAGATATGTACACAAACCAAGCAAACAGAATGGGCAATATTTGGCTGGAGTTGAGGGTTTTTGGCTGAGCCATTAATCATATCCTTTAGCTTATTAGGTTACTCAGAACTGCCGTGTTCACATGGCCCAAATATATCATTTTAAGTTGCAACAACAAACAAAATCTGAAATTGTACTCTTTTAAAGCCCCACTGCACTACTTATACATGTAGCTACTTGCGCCCTCTATATAGTAAATAATGCCTAATCAGTGCCTGTTGGTCCTCCATGATCCCTTTTTCTTATGTTAATTGAGAGCTGATTTGATGAGATAACCACCTGTCAGTGACCTTGCAGGGAGGTCTAATCCCCCTGGCCAAACTAGTGCAGACAGGCTTTAAGACTTAGCTAGATATTTTTCTTCATTTCACCTTAAATTTGGCAGGAATACTTTTTGATGGCACTATTTTGCCCTGAAGAGATCTCAGCAATATAGTTTATCTATTTCCGAATACACCTTTACATATGGGTGGACTTATCCTTTAAGTTCCACTCATTCAAACTGAATTTAAAGAGATAAGATTTCCAGTACAATTACATGTAGCAATTACCAGACTACAGTATTTTATATTTGTTTAAACCGGTAATCATTCTACATTTTATGCTCATCAAAAAGTTATTATTTCTTTTCTATCAAAATGTTTGACAGATATGAGAGCACCTTGCGTACCTTGCCTGATGGCTTCAGTCTACATGTATGTGCTAAAAAATTATTCAATATTACTTAATTTACTATTATTATTAAATCAATGTAAATATTTTTACTCTTATTAATTTATTATCATAATCATTATTAATTATACTATTATTATTTTTATCAATGTAAATATTGTTACTATCATTATTATAATCATTATTATCACTGTTATAATTATCAATCATTGTTATTATTTTTCATTATTATCATTATTGTTATTATCATCAATATCATTATTATTTTCATTATTATTATATTAAAGTTATTATAATCATACTTATTATTATTAACATTATCATTATTTATTATTATGAATAACATTTTCATTATCATTGTTATTATTATCATTTCGGTTGTTTTTCTGATACAGAATAATCTATTTTGTAATTCTTAAATAATTATTACAGAAAAAAATTTAACAGAAAATGGAAAATTCTTTTTCATGATTTAAACATTTCAGTTGTCATCCACAGCAATCCACTACTAATGGACCTTTAACCCTCTATGTACATTACCTATACATTTAATATCCAATTAAACATGTTGACATACAATGCAAATTAGTCAAGTCCACCTCTCCTCCTAACCTTGAAAACAACTGATGATTCACGGTAATGGAGGCGCTTCCAGTGACTGTGAAAACACACAGCCCACATGCACCATGGTGCGTGAATGTGTAATCATGTGAGTCATAGGTAATCATCACAGAGCTTTTCTCTCTATTGCACATTCTCTCTCTCTCTTCCCCTCTCTCTCTCTCTCTCTCTGTCTATTTCTATCAGTCCGTGTGTGTGTGTGTCTCTCTCTCTATTTCTGTGTGTGTGTGTGTCTCTCTCTCTCTCTCTCTGTCTCTTTGTATCTTTCTATCTCACTCTCTGCCTCTCTCTGCGTCTCTCTCTCTTTCTCTCTCTGTGTCTCTGCCTCTCTCTGTATCTTTCTATCCCTCTCTTTCTCTCTCTCTCTATCTCACACACACACTCTCGATCTTGTCTCTGCCCCTTTCTCTCTCTCTCTGTGCCTCTCTCTGTGTGTCTCTCTACGTATCTCTCTCTCTCTGCCCAAGTTCGATGATTTGATACCAGGGTTGTGAAGAGTGATTGAGTCATCTCGCATTGTATGAATACCTCTGCCAGGTTGTCATGGACAAATAAGATGTCATGCATTTTTACTGACTGTACCCAGGGACTTGATTTCAAGTCCTGCTGTACCACTATACCACTACCAGTTGCATCATTGTATCAACTAGATACCGGTACAGCAATAAAAAATATAAAAAAATATTGACCAAATGTATGACCTTGACCATGGTATTAGGCCTACTTGAACATGTAGCTGCTCCAAATGGATTCAAAGATACAATAATATCCTAACCCTACATGCAGAGTTCAACCGACATCAAACTCGGGTCGAGCAAGGGTGCGACCCATGTGGATCAGTCTGTAGGACAGGTCTCTGATGTTAAAGACATTTTTCTTCATTAAATTGAAAACACACATTTTTACAAGAGTCAAGGAATGTAAAGTTCTGTACATTTCATTTTTAAAATACAAGTGCATGATCGAAGCCCTACATCATGGCTTGACACTAACTGGCGCCTGGGAGACACGGGCTCTCAAATCTAGGTCTGGCCGGACCCTAGCCTTTAAACAAGGCCACATGTCTGATAACAATGAGTGATTAAAAGACACTAATCGCGAAACCCGAGTGAAAGTAGTAGTGCATCCAAGTAGCCTTTAGTAATCTAGATTGGAATTCTTATGTTAACCTTTGTTTCCGACTGGAATTCCCTACCGAAATGGTAGCGTCCAATCAGTGAACGTATCCTCGCATGACGTCAGCATAGTATCCATCACACACACACACAGTGAACTCTAAGTAGTACGAACATGGACCTACTATAAACTAAGAATAACATTCGGGCTAAGACCCTGACCTCTACATGGAAAGAAAACGAGTTGAACTGGTGCATTTTAGGGAAGTCCAATTATCTCACTTATGTTTGTTAGCATAAGTCATCAAATGCTTCCTATTCTATTGTAATTTTTGCATGTAAAATAGATTTGAATGTGATATTTTGTATCTATCATTTACATGTACATGTATATGTTCATCTCATAAGCAAACTTATTTACGTCTTTTACCTTTTCTTACATGTTTTGATAATGAACGAAGCCAACTGGGAGATGGCCGTTCTGATTGGTCAATAAATCCAAAGTAATAATTTTCATGCAGAGCAGTAAAACCTAGATTGTAAAAAGGCATCATGGCTACCCGCCATTCGATAGCACGTTCACCATGGTCTCTAGATTCATCTCCATCTCCGCCACTGATTGGGGTGGAAATAGCCAGAGTCACAAGGCCTTGTCAAAAGGCTAGCCGGACCCCAACATTGATCTGTTATACATGGGCTCAGCGTATAGACTCCAGTCTGCAAAGCTAATCTTGAGCTCTGGTATGAGAATTGTATTTTGAGAGAAAATTGCAATGATTTTTCTGGATTGTTAATCCTGCAGTAGATGGTTGTTTGAACCAGTGAAATAAAAATAAACGCACATCTTTGATAAAACACCAAAACCTCATTTGCACATGGTGCCATGTGTTGTCGAGCACATGGTGTCCGCAGTGTCGGGCCTATACTGACCCGGATTTCCTTATCTTTCTATGCTCATTAGCTAGCCACTATACATTTTCTATCAAAATCGTCACTTTTGGCATACCGGTACATGTACATGTATGTCATTTATTTGTAATCTTAATTCAGTGCAGGTTTTGTTGGATTCTGTGAGAATTAATTTCCTTCATTACCAGAACTCAAGTATATCTTTAACAACTAAATTATTTATACCCTTACCAGTTTTTAAAGTTTTTTTAAATATGTGAAAAATTGATTTTTTCCCGATTTATGTCTCTTGACAATGTGACATATAAAGCTTTAACTTTTAAGCATCTAAAAGTATTCAACAAAAACCCTAATTCAACTAATCCACCAATCATTCTTGACTGTTATGAAAAACACAGAAACACATCAAGTTTATAAGGGGTACCAT